TATTCCATCCAATATCAAATCCAAATATTGTCAAATGATGCACGTATTTAATTGACTTATTACAAAAAGATCACATTCATAAATTTTTGGTATATATATTTTTTTCAAGAAATTAATGATAATCAAAGTAATTAAAAGCTCATATATCTAGAATCTCTCTCTCTCTCTCTCTCTCTTTGCCCATTTGGCTTATTACTTTTTTTCTGTTTCTGTTTACTTGAACAATTATTTTAGAAAAAAAAATTAATCTAATTAATTTATACAATTATTTTTAAAATATCATATCTAACACATTTAGAATTTAAATTTTAGCACTTAAATTTTTTTCCATTATCAAATACAACCTCTTCTATTAAAAACGAGAAAAATGGAGTTGAACCTGAAGATGAAATTAACTACTTAAAATTGCTATTAAGCCAAACACATGAGAAGTTTCATCCTAGACTAGATTATTAATCTGAAGAAGAAATATTGATGTCATCCATCAGACCACATAAATCATGATGATCCAAAGATATGCGTGCCACATTTAGTGGACCACTAGCCATCCGATTATACTATATAATGTATCCAATTCCATTTATTTAATATATGCCTAAACATTTAAAAAATTATCTTACTATATATTATATAATTACAAATTGTACGAAGCAATTTTAAATGCAACAATGTTTTCCCAATAGTTTTTATCGCCAAGAACGATGTGGGATAGAAGCATGGGCAGAATGTGGTAGCGGAAAATGAACCCCACAAACCCTAATATGGGGACCAATCTCTTCTACCCATTTTTTCTAATAATTGTACTTGTAATCTTTCGGACAATGATAGTGTAACATTCTTAATTTGAGAATTTGGAATTTTGGTAAAATTTTCTTGCTTATAGCATGGTTAGTGCTATGGTCCATGGTGATTTGGGAACATATACGATGATTTTAAATGATCTAGAATCAAATAAAAATTGTGTTATCATTGCATTATTGCATTAAGGACATTCTTATTTGTCATTGATGATTGTAACAAGAATCAATAAATTATATAGAGGTAGGTATATGAAATATACTTTCTTTTCTTTTTTGATTTTTTGGTTCATGAGTTTTCATTATAACAAATAACCCATTTTTTTATTTGATATTAGAGCTTAATTCAATTGATTCATATGATTATATATAAAAAGTGGTATCCAATAAATTTAAAATTTGAATCACAACACGTGAAATTTTTTATTTTATTTTTAGACTACATCCTCTATGAACCCAAAAAAAAAAAAATCAAAATCGATTGAGTAAAACCCTCTTATTTTTATTGTTGAATATGAGGTATTTGTTTTGATTAATCTATCTTTCTTTCTATGTTGTTTTTCCGTGGCTTTTTTAAATAAATTTTCTATATTTTTTATATAAAATTATGTAAAACTTGGGCTTTAAAGATATAGTATATATTGTTAGGATTAAAACCGTATTTTTAAAAAACAATAATAAAATAAATAAATAAAATCAACAAGATTTATAGTGATTTATTCTTAACACAAGAATTACATTCACTTTCACAATTATTATAGAATATTTTATGATAAAAAGATATTACAAATGTTGTAATAAATCTTTAAATTAACGACCCTTTAAATATAAATATAATTTAAAAAGTTAAATTATATGTGCAAAAATTCAAAATTTCTTTATTAGAATAATTAATATCGAATATTCATATACTTACTCAAATTAATATCAAATAATAATTAAATTTTATATGTACATGTATATATTAATATATTTAGTATCAGTCAACATACAAAATGATAGTACTAACCAACAATATAATATTCCTAGTACGGAACAGCAATAAATAGTGTGAGAAATCCTAGTCCACGATGTATATTGTTCACTGATAGAAGCAACAAGAGTACAAAAGATTAAAGTTCTGGATAATAAGGTTAATTTTAGTAAAATTAAAAATAATAATATAAATTATTATAATTTTAATTAAAAAATATATTATAATTATGATTAAAAAAATTTATAAAAAATTTTATACTAAATAAATTTTATTAAAATTAATATTTAAATTTAATTAATAATATAATAAATTTAACTATAACACATTAAAAATATGATAGAATCCAAATCTTCCACTGAAACATCATTTGAATTCACAGTTCAATGTGTTTAACCTCCATTTATGCTAATCTTATCGTCAAATAATGTTGGTTAACATAGAAATAGTGACATTAAATCATTTGGCTCGTACTGAAAGCTTTAAAATTCATTAGAGAAAGAGGATCTAGAGGATTATTAAACCTCAAATTAGACAATTTTATTCTCTTTAATTTAATGTATTTTTTAAAATACCCTTAAATTTAAAATACCAAATATATTAGTACATTTATATGGTTTGAATTCAATTATTTTATAATGAACGTATTATTATAAAAATAATTTTAGTAATTTTTAATTATTTATCAATATAATTATTATTACAAAAATAATTTAATAAATTTTAATAAATTAAATTTATTATTTGATATAAAAATAATTTTAATAATTTTTAATATAATAAATATTAAATAAATGTATTATGTCTAAAATTTAATTTAATATATTTAATGATTACTTTTTTTGTTATTTTTATTTCACTGTTATTATTATTTTACGTTTAAATATATATTTTATTACTAATTTTAATCTTATCATTATATTAATTAATTTAATTATTATAATAATTAATTTTATTTTAATTATTATTTTTAATATCATTAAAATTAATGTAAGCCCTATTTCAAATAGAGGCTAAAGATTAAAGGTGTAATTAATCAAATTTAAGTCGATACGGTATTAAATTCGAGTTCGAGTTTGATTAAAAATTTAAATGTTGAAATTCAATTCGAATTCGATCGAGTTTTATTTTTTTTTAGCTTGAGCTCACTCGAGATAAAAATTGAGTTACTAGAGCTCGCTCAATTAAGTTTAATTAACATGTAAAAATAAGTTCGATTCTTAGATTTAAACAAAAGTTCGATTACTTGTATTTGATCTTGAGTTCGAGATATTTTGTTAATTAAAATAATAAAAATTTATTTAAATATAAAAACTCGATTAGGCTCGCGGATTACTCAAGCTGAGTATAAAAATACTCAAACTCAATTTGATTGATGAATCGAGTTATTCGAACTCAAGCTTAAGCTCAATTATTTGTACTCGATCTTAAGTTCGAGATATTTTATTAATTAAAATAATAAAAATATATTTAAATATAAAAATTCGATTATATTCATGAGTTATTTAAATCGAATATAAAAATATTAAAATTTAATTTAATTGATGAATCAAATTATTCAAACTTGAGTTAAATTCGATTTAATAATAACTAATTAAATTTAAATTTTATTTTAATCAAATTCGAATAATTTATGAATATTAATATATCGTTTATTTTTTTAATAATTATTAATCTTTTAACGGTGGTGATAGGCACGCGCTTCAAAGTGAAAAGTTAGGGGTTGTCTTAGCCAATCTGATCCAGATATGAGAGATCAGTCCCCACCGTCGATCTTGCTATCTTGCTAATAGCTACGAATGGTCCAGTTGGCTAGGCTCTCTAGTATCGTCTCTATGCTCGGGTGGGGCTGCCACCCCTCTGGGTTCTGTCTGCTGACCCTGGCCCCTGCTAGGGCTGAGCCTTCGTCATTGGAAGGGGTGCAGTTGCAACTTTAACAAAACCAGCGGGGATCTTTGGAATTGTGGGTATAACACAAACAATGGACATGTATTTGTGAGTAATAAACCTGTTGAAGTTAAAGGATGGAATTTTCTTGGACTTTGTACATTTTCGTCACCATAAATTCTTGGGTGAGTTGGATTGTTCTTTTGTCTCTCAAAAAGAAAAAAATGAAGAAATGAAAGGGAAATAAACAAACAAAAGAAATCATTTTAAGGTTTTTTTTCAAATGCTTCGCTGCCTTTCTTTCTATTACACTCAGTGATTAATATCTTCATTACTACATTAAGAAAATCATTGCATCAAATATTATTTATTTTTTAATAAACACTGGCCATTAATTTTTTTCAATTTTAATGCACCTACGTGTTATTTTCCTTTCAAATTAACAGAAGTAGATCTCCACAAAATCTTACAATAAAAACACAGTATCCAAATTCCTTTCCTATTTAATCTCTGCCTCTCAGTCCCTTCTCCAAACCATTAATACCTCATCATTGCATTGATAACAAAAAATTAAGTATACAAGAAAAAAAATCGCCATTTATAAATTATTCAAATAATAAAACCAATATAATAATATATCCTACAGGGCTTTTGCTTTGTTTCATTCATGAGACAAGAAAATAAAAAACAGAACGACCAAACCAAGAAAATACAAAGACAAAGATATCCAAAGTACGCTGTTTAAATGACTAAATGCCCAAAGATCTCACTGTTATTCTCTTCAACCTTGGAATGTATCAGATTTCATTCTTGTCTGTAATAAACAATCTATAAATTGTTACTAGTACAAATCCTTATTTGTACCTATAGAAAGAGAGAAAAGAGAAATTTCAGAAAGTGAAAAGAAACAAAGAAAAGAAGAGAACAAAGTGAGACAAAACTAAAAACCATCACCACCCTTCTTTCTTTTGGTTCATAAATCATAAATATTGGCTCTTCCCTTTGCTTCTCTTTCTCTCTCTGAGTATATAAATATATTGAGCCCGCTTTTTATCTCTCTCACCGACCACTTTCTGTTTTCATTTCTCCTACTGCTCAGAAACAAGACATTAACAAAAAGCCCATTCTTTTGTACCCTTTTGCTCTTGTTTTCTCAGAGGTTTTCTGGGTTTTTTTGTTTTGTTTTCGTTTGTATTAAGTGCTTCTTTTGCAAGAACAAAAAGAAGAGAGGCAGTCAGGAGTTTGGTTTAACTGGAGTTTCAGCTAAGTTTTTTTGAGAGGGGGCCTGATGTTGTTTAATGGGGTCAAGGAAGTGAGTTTTGGATCGTGAAGTTGTGTGTAGTTTTTGTGAAATTGGGTGAAACAGATATGGGTTCAATGTTAAAGCAGATACTAAAGAATCTTTGTTGCAGTAATGGGTGGTCTTACGGTGTTTTTTGGCGCTTTGATCAGAGAAATTCCATGTAAAGTTTTTTTATTTTTGTAACATTTGCTTGATGTTGTTTTGTTTGTCGCTTGCTTCTTCCAAATCTATGATATCTTTGGCTCTTAGTTTGTTTCAAGATCTACTTTTTTTGCTAAAACCTTTATTACTACCTTTTTAGTTGCATACTCTTTATTTTCTGTTTCATGTTTTTGCTGTTTTCAATCATTTTGTTTTTTCCTCATGGGAACTGTCAAATATTCATGCAACAAAATTTCTGTTCTCGGAAAATTTTTGTGAATGAAAGAAGTCCAAAAATGGTGATTTTCTTATTAAAATTTCTTAGCGATTTATTTTATATCCTCTAAAGCAAAAAAAAAAAAAAAAAAGAGATTTGTTTACTGTGATAAACATCATTTTCTTTGTTTGCTACTTGATTCAATGGTAATTTTTTTTGGCTTACCATAGATTGTACCCTTGGAATATTAACAGGTTGTTAACAATGGAAGATGCCTACTCCGAAGAGCAAATGGGACCATTGGTTGACAGTATGCTTCTAAAATTCCATATCCTGAGTGAAGGGTATGCTCAGTTATCAAGTATTCTGTTTCAGAATTTGCTGTTTTCCTGTTGTAAATGTAAATCCAGTAACTGTAGTGAAAATTCATTCAAATTTGCCAAAAATTTTTTCTGCGGATCATTTAGTTTTAAAAACAAGAAAAGAACTTGGAGTATCACAAGATCTCTAACAGGGCAAATCTTGTTGTTTTTGTCAACTTAGAATTATTGGCCAAGCCGCTTTCACAGGAAAGCATCAATGGATTTTCTCCGACTCCCATGATAAAGGTTTGGATTCCACCGGAAATCAAAATATATTTCAGGTACCTTTTTTCCTTTCTCTGTTTTTCCCCATTTTATATACCTGTTAATGCATCAAATCTTGATAGGATGCTGAAGAGTTTTTGTTTTTATATTTTATAGTATCAATTTTGGTCCTTTTTTTTGGCCATCTAGTATCAATGTTGATCTAATCAACTTATCTCTGGCATCTGGGAAATAGGCTTAGTCACAAATTGAGAGGCATTACATTATTTTAGTATATAATTTGGCACTTTTTTTTTCTTCAATTTTACAGGATGAATCTGAGGTACAAAACCAATTTTCATCTGGGATCAAGGTACCTTTCAATTTGAGAAAATATTTAACCCACTTATGTCAGTATCTTTTCCCTATGTCTGTATAATCAACATTTATTTACAACCAAATATGATCTGCAGACAATTGCAATAATCCCTGTAGAAAGAAGGGGAGTGCTTCAGTTTGGATCCACACAGAAGGTTAGTACATACGATAATGAATGATATAATTTTCACCCTTATGGAAACGTGTTGAACTGAAGTACATCACCCAAGTTAATTGGCAATGGCTGGAGCCATATGTTACTTTTGTGTGTGAGATTCGTAAACTTTTCATATTACTTGCTACTGACTGCAAATCCAAATGGTTTTAATTTCTTATAACCGAAATGCTAGAAAAATGCCTATACTTATGGAGTTCCCTTAGGAGTCTTTATATGAAACTGTAAGAAGATCTCACAATTCAAAGGCCATCAAAATATGCTTGTCTATATTTTATGAGCATTTGGAAATTCCATTTTCAGTCTTATTTAGTCATGTGCGTATGGATTCCAATTAAGTTGGGATGGTAACTGTAAAATACACTCTTACTGGATTTGAGTACTGGCATGTTGCCCTATAAATAAGAAACTTTCAGGTTTTGAAAATCCTAAAGTGGAGCTCTCAGAAGAATATGTAATTTTTTGTTCATTGTCTAAGCATGGATGTGTTTTCATCTCATATAGAATATATCATTCTAGGATCCTGTTTAATCTTTAAAGCACTTAATTATTGAAACTAGTATTTATGGTTGGACTATTTTATATTTGGATTTCTACTTAAGGAATGCATAATTAGAACAAAAGGATTGATAAATTTATGTGTAAGTGTGCATTAGCACTGGTGTTGTTGAAAAATACTAATTGTTGTTTGCTGCGGTTGCAGATTTCAGAGAGATGGGAATTTTTGAATGAAACAAAAAATTTATTTTATGACCTGGGAAGTTGTCATGGGCTTACCCCTTTGGAAATTGAAACTTGCAATCTAGATGGATTTTTTGCTTCCCTACCATCATGTGGAAATATTTACAAAGAGAATCTGACAACTGAGCAAGGTGGCTGTTCTAGAGAGCAAAAAGGGTGGCCATGTTCCTTAGAAAATCTCACTGAATCCTCCTGTTTTAGTGAGATTCAAGACCAGATTACGAACTCTGTGCAACAGAATTTTTCTCATCTCAGAAGTCAATTGCTAACAAGTAGCAGAGAAGCTCAAATTATATCATCTGATAAGTTCTTTCCTGTTAACTGCTTGGCTGCTGATATCCCTTGCATTAGTACCTGGAGTAGTGAGGGTTCGATTTTGACTTCATTTGAGACATCATTGCCATCTGAGAGGGGCATGTGGGATTCTCGAAATAAGCTTCCTAAAAGGGCAAACAATCTTGTACCTAGCGGAAATACAGAACAAAATTTACTGGATGGTTCAACACTTACTTCATTTTATAGCATGAGAGAACTGGTTGATGCAGAATTACCTACTCTAGACAGCTTTGGGAAAACAGAGGAGAATCAATATTCTCTTGGCACTAACGATGGACTTCTAAATAGTGCAATTAGCCTACAAAGAGTCACTGAGGAGTTGAACCCAGCTGACTTTACAACAGATCTATCCAGCTCCTTTACACTGGATGATCTCTCTCAGTGGTTTTCTCCTTCACCCCAGTATAACATCAATGGTGCAGGAGATGCAATGACTAGTGGTCCTTCATGTTCGATAGGAGTTACCTCTGTGTCATCCACTTTGATAGGAGATGATACGGTAATTGACATTCCAGTGAGACAAGCTGCTAATTCTTTGCAAAGCTCCATCACTGATACATTGATATCTAATGTAGAGAAATCTACAATTTTTCATGATAATGGAAATGATCTGTTTAATACCGTGGGACTGGATTTGGGATTTGGAAAAACTGGGGAGTTCTTCGAAGATATTATGGTGCCATTGTTGGTTGTTGATAACTCGGCTGTTACTTCTGGAATGTCAGAATCTATTTCGGAATTGGATGTTTCCTCCAAGACTGGCAAGCAAAAAGGGTTATTCTCTGAACTTGGCCTTAAAGAGCTTTTAGATGGTGTCAGTAATTCTTCTTATGTTACCGAATCTAGTGTTGAGGATCAATTTCCCACTACTAAAAGGGGGAAAATTGAAAGTTCTTCGTCTAATTTTTGTCAAGATCAGTTTGTGGGTCTGTCTTGCTCTGGTGGGAGCATGAATCTGGTGCAGTATTCACGTAACTGGGACAAGAGTAATAATACTATTTTCAACAAAGAGATTCACCAAAAATCACAAGTAGGTGGATGGATAGATGATAGCTACAGTGTAAATGCTGGACATGCCATTGTTGCTACATCAAAGAAGCCCACCAGGAAAAGGGCTAGACCTGGTGAAAGTACTCGACCAAGGCCCAAAGACCGTCAGCTGATCCAAGACCGTATCAAGGAGTTGAGAGGGATTATCCCTCATAGTGGAAAGGTACTAATGATGTGTCTTTGCTTTAATTGAGTATATACTGAGAAAAACTGTGCTTGCTATCATCTGGAGAATTCTGCAAGGATTATACATTTTGTTTACTTTAAAGATTGCTATTACCTTTCTAGTTTTCAAAAATTATCATCTAAAATCATTTCTGAGATCAAAGTTTTCTTTAACACAATGAAGCATTTGTTTCATTGACAAAGTGGCTTATATTATTTCCATGATGCACAGTTGAGCATTGATCATTTATTGGAGCGGACCATCAAACACCTGCTTTTCTTGCAAGGCGTGACAAAATATGCAGACAAGATTAAACAAGTTGATGAACCAAAGGTAACCGGTTTGTTTGTGTATTTCAGTGAAATATGATACTGAAGTAGCTCAGATTTGGTGATTACTGTTCACTGATGTGTTAACAAACTTTCTTGAACTTTAGCTTATTGGCCAGGAGAATGGAATGCTTACAAAACACAACAAGATGAGTGGTGGTGCGACATGGGCATTTGAAGTTGGGGCTCAGAGTATCCCTATTGTAGTTAAGGACCTAAATCCACCTGGCCAAATGCTTATAGAGGTATGAAAAGGCAAATATTTTTTTTTAAAGTAAAAAACCAAAGAAAGTCTCCCCAAAGTTGGCTAAATAAACTTCTATAAAAAAATGGCTAATTAAACAATCTTGATGGTTTTACTGAGCCTCTATCATTTTCTTGTTGCAGATGCTCTGTGAAGATCGAGGATTCTTTCTTGAGATAGTAGATGTCATTAGGGGCTTGGGGTTGAATATCTTGAAGGGGGTGATGGAGCTTCAAGAAGACAAGATATGGGCACGATTCATTGTTGAGGTAAATACGGAAGTTAAGAATTCAAAGCAATGTACTGAGACAACTTAAATATGATTAACTGATTGTAAGGTGAATATGACAGGCAAATGAGCAAGTGGAAAGGACAAATATAATTTGTTCTCTTCTCTTGCTTCTGCAGCAAACTGGCACCAGTGGGATTGATTATGCCAGTCAGCCAAGCAGGGACATGGATGGTGGGATTTCCCTCTTAAACAATTTCCAACAACCTTTGCTGCTGCCTCCTGTCAGCATGGCTGAGACACTTCAATAATTAGAACACACATTTAAGGGTTCCAGAAGTACCTTGAGCATTCACATCTAAAGGAGGCCTGCAGTGATTGGTGTTCTGGAAATTGAAGAACCAAAACTGAAGATAGAGTAGGTTCTCAATTCCATTTTCAACTGCCTTAGACACAATGTACATGGTTGATAGACTAGGAAATATTCTCAAAGGAGTGGCAAGTTTCTGAAAAGGAAGGAGAGACTGTGGCCCTATGGGAGGTGGAGCTCGCCATCACAAGGAGCAAAGCCCTGAAAGAAACTTGTATAGTCATTGACGGGGACCAATCTGGTTTGCATGTGAGGGGGCTAACTGATGGATATTGAACAATAGTTCTTAGCTTTTAGCTTCTTGCATGCTGCTCTGCCATAATTTGTTTATAATCCAAAGCAGATGACATAATTAGTGTAGGCTAACCGCTAATTATTTTTTTCTTGGTCCTCCTGTTGTTGTTTGATTAGCATAATAATCAATAGAATTAGCTTGATTTGTCATGCCAAATGTTGCACCACTGCAGTATATACTTGCTTCTAATCGCAGTGATTTTCCATTACAGTATAAAAATCACTTGGAAAATTTTCTTCAGATTAACATGTTTACATTGATGTTAATGGATGCACCACATTCCAAAAGTTCTTTGCTTAGTGAAAAAAGACAGAAAGCCCGCATGGTTGCAGTACAGGGATACTTATTTACTTATTGTGAAGTATGGTGAGGCCATGAACTCAGGAAGGAAAGAGAAAGGAAAAGAAAATATCTAAGCTTTGCAATTTGCTGGTAGGAGGATTTTTTATTCCAATTTTTAAACCTTCAATTAAAAAGAGTTTGGAAGGTCAGCATTAGCTTTTAGCAAAGTGTAAAGCTAGCTCATCTACAATATTAAGCAAATTATAGTCTCATTTTGAGGGTAAGTGGAGCAATAGACCGTGGTCAATAGAAAGCAAGTTCTGATAGCTGAATTAGCCTTTCAAATCAGTGCACTGCAGCTGTGGAAAGACTTCCAACAGCAGGAGATAAGTGCTCTCTCCATTCAAGTGACATCAGCATAAACCAATCGAAACACTGTTTATTATCATAGTGCCCCCCCCCCCCCCTTACTTAAAGTGAGAACCTTGATGGTCCTATTCATGACCTAATTTACCTCGACCAAGGAATTCTTTAAACGTACTGGGGCTGTACTATTTTAAGAATTTGTTGTCCTGCTTCTCATTAACGAATGATATAATTAAAAATTCATAGATTCATGTTGGCCTCTCCACTTTAGTTGAAGATCACTGGAGCGAAAGTTTTGTTGCATTAGCAATGCTCAATTTAGGACAGCAGATGATAACTGATTCAATTTGGCGTGACATTTATAGCTTTTCTGATGATTACTTCTTTAATTATATTCAATAAATTTCGTGGCATTCCAGGTTGATTCTTCGTAGGGTAGTTATCACTAATTCAAGATAACTGACAACACAAGGCGAAAAATCAAGATATTGAAATGCTTTATCAGAACATTGGTGCTGTTTCCTAATTTTCTTATCTGCATGAAACAGATAAGAGAGGATTCCATTCAGAGATCCACTAAGGAGGACAGTTAAACAAAGAGCCAAAATTAATAAATTTCTGACCTAAATCTTGGCCTGGTGACGTTTAGCTTTTCGATGTACGACACATAATGTCAGCAGCTCCCCAATATCAATTTGATTTTAGGTCATGAAAAGATTTCTTTCTCCATCTAGATTAAGATCACCAGAGAGTGTTCAACTGTTCATATCCTGGCCGAGTTCACCGAGAAGCTAACTGAACGATTGGACCTTGATAACTAAACTTCAAAAATGCAGCAGATGCTTAGAAGTTTCAAGTAAACATGATCAGAGAGCTAGGCTGGAGCCTTTGGCAGAATGTCAAGTAAATTATGCCAAGTGAAATGCCTCATTGATATTCATTTTCTAATGAGATTTTTTTCGCATATTTGTTGCTTGGTGACGATTGCATTTCCGGTTATTAAATCATTCTTAGTTCAAAAAAGAGAATGCAAAACACAATGGTATAAAAAGATGCAATTTTTTCCGAGTTAAAATTTAAAGGAGATTATTTTTGGTCGCACTTATGTCCACATCACGACCTTATTACCTACCAAAAAAGTAAGAAATTGCCTCTAGAATCCCCCACTCAATTGAATTTGTTTTTATTCCCATTTTCTTGAAAAGATCAACAACATCAGATTCAAAGTGTCCCCATTATATAATCCAATAGTCATACTGCTTTGAATCACCACAGCCTCAGCCTCACATTGCATGCAAACAGGGTCTGCTGAAGTGCTTTGCTATCTTTGCTTCCTATAGTTCAACATAGCACCAATAATTTCTGTATAATCTAAACTTATCCCATCTCAACATTTTTTGTCCTGACTAGCATTAAAGATGTCCCCTGGAAAGGAAGTATTTAAGGGAGTGGAATGGAGGATAAGGGTGGCTGATGGCTCATCCGAGGTTTTGGTTCCAGCTACAGGGTTTGCAAGAAAGACCTGGCGAGTAATTAAAGGTCTAATTTCAGGATTGGCTTTGAAAGTGTGGATGTTCCTGAAGAGAGCATGGGCCATCGCGGCTAATGATCCTAGAAAAGTGATCCATTGCATTAAGGTAGGACTGGCACTCACAATTGTATCACTGTTCTACTTTATGAGGCCTTTGTATGATGGTGTCGGAAGGAATGCTATGTGGGCTGTTATGACAGTTGTAGTAGTATTTGAGCCAACCGTTGGTAAGTATTTCCAACTTCAAAACCCCGTAGTTTTCTCTCCCTGGGAAGTTTATTTAAACTGAACATCTTAACTTTACCTCATTACAGGCGAGACCCTATACAAATGCATGAACAGAGTTTGTGGAACTTTTCTAGCTGGATTTCTTGCTGTTGGGGTACACTGGTTTGCCAGTCGGTCAGGAGAGAGATTTGAGCCATTGGTTATGGGAGCCTCAGTTTTCCTATTAGGTATGTATAGTTCTCTTGATAATAATCATAATTGCTTTCTTTGTCTTCATTTAGATATTGCTAAAGCTTGTTGTTATATATCTTTAATTCTTTCTTCAGCTTCTGCGGCAACCTTCTCTAGACTCAATCCATCAGCAAAATCACTGTTTGATTATGGTGCCATGATCTTCATCCTCACTTTCAGTTTCGTTGCAGTATCAGGCTATAGGGTGCATAAATTGTTTGACCTGGCCCATCAAAGAATATCCACCATTATCATTGGTACTTCCTTGTGCATTCTTGTAATCATGCTTGTCTGCCCCATTTGGTCTGGTCAGGAGCTCCATAGCCTGATTGTTCACAACATGGATAAACTCGCTGATTCCCTTGATGGTTCGTACTTAGTTTTTTTTTTTTTTTCCTGCAATTCTGGTTCATGATATAAGTAGCTTGTTTTTCAACTCGACATGCTAAGAACCTATCTTCCCATTATTCTTTCAGTTTGTGCGACACGGTATTTTAATCACAGTGGGGAGTGCACCAACAGCAATGAAGAGGCTGATAAAAAATTGCAAGGCTACAAGTGCGTGCTAAGCTCCAAGGCAACAGAAGAATCAATGGTAAGTGACAGGAATAATAAAGTGGATAACTCTGCCTCCCTTTTATGATCTTCGACCTGATTAGCAATTTGGCATTGTTTCCTTTAGGCAAATTTTGGCAGGTGGGAACCTTCCCATGGCCAGTTCAATTTCCGGCACCCTTGGAAACAATACCTGAAAATTGGGGCTTCAATGCGCTGTTGTGCTTACTGCATAGAGGCTCTCAGCAGTTGCATCAATTCGGAAAATAAGGTCAACCAAGTTCAAAGACTTAGTTTGATCTGATTATTTGTTCCACAATGATATAACAGAGTACTAATTCAGGCTGCCATCACTTGTTTTATATTTTAAACAGGCTGCTGAATCAATAAAGAAGCATCTAAGCAGTAGTTGCTTGAAAGTGAGCTCTAGCTCTTCAAGTGCCATAAGAGAGCTAGCAGAAACTGTCAAGACAATGAAGAAGTCATCTATTGTAGATTTGTTGGTCGGAGAAATGAATAGTGCAGTACAAGAACTCCAGAATGACTTAAAATCTCTTTCTTATTTGCTGAATCCATCAACAACTCCGGAAAAGAAAAAATTGGAGACAGCCTGCATAGAAGCAACAACCACAGTCCCTCTCATGGAATTCATACCAGTGGTGACTTTGGCTTCTATACTAATTGAAATTGCAGTGCGGATTGAAGCCGTTGTCGATGCTGTGGAAGAACTAGCCAAGTCAGCTGAATTCAGAATCGATGATGATGACAAGTCCAAGCAAAGCAAAATAAAAGATAAAATTGTATCAGAAGAAGAGAAAATTGAGGGAACCACGAAGGCTCTTCAAAGGGTCTGAGACCGTGAGTTCCCATGTAAATTTTTTTTTTCTGAAAATGAATTTATAGATAGTAAGAAAGAAGAACAAAACTAAACTATTGGTTCCACCATGCATTTACATAGAGCCTTGATCAATATAGGATCACCAATTGTGGCGTTGAGTATATCCTGTGTATTGGGTCAAGCTGGACAGCCAGAAACTGTGCGGAAAGCTCTGTCTTATTGCTTGAAGCAAACTTGCTCTCCAGCTTACAGGCCTATCGGTGGCTTGCAATTGGCTCTTGTTGATGATGTAGCAAGCCTACTTTCTCATGGAGGTCCTGCTTTAACCTCTATGGTTTGCGATATGCAAAGGATGAATCAGGCTTGCAAGGAGAGTTGAAACCCAAGAAACAAAGAAGGCTGAGAAAGTTGGAATCAAAAGCAAGCTGAAGCTTGCTGATAGGAAGGTTTATTTCATAAAGTGTTGGGCTCATGAGCAATCAAGGGAAGCGTGGTCTTCTTTAGCACCCATTTTGAGGGCAGAAAAAGAGCTCATTCATGGATTATGGAGGGAGTAAAAGCTTTCCAAAAACGGAGAATGTAGCAGAAAGCATGGACAAAGTTTTGCTAGAGGAAATGTCATGTATTATTTACTAAGTATCCCTTAACAAATGTAATCTTTTTATGGAGGAAAGATTCGAATCAGCCTCTTCGAATAAGAAAGAAATGGTGCATGATCTCTTTTTGGTACAAAAAGAAATCTGGAGATATCTGATTTTAACCTTCAAATCCAATCTATGGATCAAGGCCGTCCACGCTAGAGAGCAGATAGATCAACGGTTCAGATTGTGCCACTGAAAATGTACCAGTGTCCTGAGAGTTGACGAATCTGGGAAGGATGAAGTAAAGTTTAAAAGTACTAAAGTTACCATTTTCATTGAAAAAATGTCAACCATTAAACGACGATGACCCTGATATCTGTTACCTAATTTCACAATACCATGGCGCCGCCCAATTCTGGCAGGCAATCCCAAACTATTAGAACCCGATCTTCCTCGGTTCATAAACCTCCGATACTATTCAGAACATTCCAGTCCATTTTCACGTAAACAAAGGAACCAAAGAACAAAAGAAGAAGAACCAAGTACGAAGAAAGTTCCCTTGTCTTCTTTTTGTTCTTGGGCTTCATTTCTCTTGCAATAAAGACAGATAAAAAACCCTAATCTTTTGTAAATTCTCGAGAAATGGTTGATGTAGCCGATAAATTGGCATATTTTCAAGAGGTCACGGGTCTTGAAGATCCCGATTTGTGTACGGAAATCCTCCAGACCCATGGTTGGGACCTCGAACTCGCCATCTCTTCCTTCACCTCTTCGAATCAGACCTCCGCTTCGACTACTAACTCTGACTCACAGCCTCGCGATTCACTTAACCGGACCGAATCCGCCTCCGGTTCCGGTAGCGTTGCCGATCCCTCCCCTGGTTTAGCGTGGAAACTCGTTGCATTGCCGATCTCCGTGATATCTGGTAGTCTAGGGTTGGTCTCTGCCGCTGTTGGACTCGGTCTATGGGCCGCGGGCGGAGTTGTTTCGTATTCCCTTGGGATGATCGGGCTGGGATCTGGGCGGGGCGGGGAATCATCGGCACGATTAGTCTCGGTTTCATCTGCGGCTTCTGAAGCGATGGATTTCGTGGCGGCATTTGAGAGAGACTATGGGACGACGAGGCCGAATTTTATCGGCGAGGGTTTCGTGGACGCGTTGCAGAGGTCAAGGGACGAATTTAAGCTGTTGTTTGTATACTTGCACTCGCCAGACCACCCGGATTCTCCAGTATTCTGTGAGCGGACTTTGTGTTCAGAGGCGGTGGCGGCCTTTGTGAATGAGAATTTTGTGGCGTGGGGCGGGAGCCTTAGGGGTAGTGAAGGTTTTAAAATGAGTAATAGCTTGAAAGCCTCCAGCTTCCCGTTTTGTGCCGTGGTTATGCCTGCTGCGAACCAGAGGATCGCCCTTCTTCAACAGGTACGAACATTGTAATTCTCGCTTCCATTTTGGATGAAATTGTTGATAATGTAATTAGATACTGCTTTCCGGTGCGAATGATCACAGTGATCAGTTATCCTTTTGCAAAAGTCAGAAACTGAAATTGCCTTTATTGTTCATACTTTTAGATAAGTTTGAATGAATTTATGAGTGCAATTAATAACATTATAGAGGATAAGTGGGCAAAATCCTGGATTTCATTCTAATTGTTGGGTGTCATTGTGGTTCTGCTAAGCACGAAGTTTAGATGTAATTTCTGCTTAATTTTGTTTCATGTGTTGGTATATAACTTGGGGGATGGATTTTTAGGTAGGAACTTTTACATGCCTAGTACATGCCCAATAACTAGGCATGTAAATTCTTTGTTAAAGAAAAAAAAAATTCTGAAGAAAGCATCTTTTAATAATCGATAAAACAAATGCTTATCTTATCTGATTCTCGCTATGTCAGATACCAGTTCCTCATATTTTGCCATAATTCATATTTAGACTTATATCATGCTACCAGTGGTATTATCTTTTTAGTTTCTTTACATTGAGATGCAGCTTAAACCTTTATTCTGCTTCCTTAATTGCAAACTACATGTTGACTTTGTCTGCCTATATGTGTTTGAGAATATTCTTTGGAAACTTAAATAGAATTCGTGTTTCTTATTATTATAAATTTTAGGTTGCTTTCCATTGATTTGTCATTTTAAATTGTTAATTGAATGGGTGTAGCTCTTTGTGCTTGTAGACTCGTTCGCTTTCACAAATCAGGTTTACACACTTTCATTAGCATTTTCTCATTTTAAATTCCACCTAAATCTTGAGTTTGGATTTAACAGGCAGCTGCTGATTATGTTAATTTATAGTTGATTATATGGATGATGCTTGTTTTAGAGATGACTAGTAGCAGCATAGCTATAAAGTTTTTGTGATGAAAATATCTTTTTGCTCATTCAGATAAGTATCTATCTTGTAAGGAAATTTTACCTTCATATCTAAAGCTGTTAGAGAAGGAACTTAGAGAAGAAAAGGCATACTAGTATTTTGCAGTTAAAAGCAAACAAATTTAGCTCATATCAACTAACTTCTTTTTTCCAACTTTCACTCACTCCACCTTATACTGCATACCATGTGAAGTTATCCATTTCTTAAACTTCACTCTCTTTGCCCCTTTACTTCAGAATGTTCTGAACCCCAGGGACTGCCAATAATGTGAACGTTGATCTTGCCTGTCGAGTATTTCGTAAATATTCTCTTTCTCTGCAGGTTGAGGGACCAAAATCTCCCGAAGAAATGCTCACAATACTACAGAGAGTGCTTGAAGAAAGTGCTTCTGTTCTTGTTGCTGCAAGACTGAATGCAGAAGAGAGAAGAAACAACATGCGTTTAAGGGAGGAGCAAGATGTTGCTTACAGAGCAGCACTTGAAGCTGATCGAGTATGCTGCTTTTTAATCTTAAATTACTGGCTTTAATAATCTTTACTTCATTTGGGCTGGATGGCATATTCCACTTTCTCCATTTTTTAATAGCTACCATTGCATTCCAGGAAGACTAAAAAGGAAAAGCAATAATGCCTCTTTTGCTCGCTAGAGGGATTTGTGCTTTTAAAAGTACCATTTTTCTGATGAAATGTGTTAACCTTGTAATTACTTTTATGACACTAGGCTAGGGAACACCAAAAAAGGGAGGAGCAAGAACGACTGGAAAGGGAAGCTGCAGAAGCTGAGCAGAAACGAAAGGAAGAAGAAGAAGCTCATGAAAGAGCAGCACGTGAAGCTGCCGAAAAAGAGGCTGCCCAAGCTAGAATGCGGCAAGAAAAAGCCTTGTCACTTGGTGATGAACCTGAGAAAGGACCAAATGTTACACAAGTAATTTCTCTGCGTTTGACTTAATTTTCCTAGTTCTGGTTAAGCTGGTAACAGCACATTTCTTATCTCAGTTCAAATTATCTGTCATTCTGTTGCAAACTTGCAATTTAGACAGTAACATTTTTCTTTTTTTCTTTCCCTCCCTTCCCCATTATCCTATGCATTTTTCACTTCTCTCTATTGGCACACTTAATACCTCTTTGTTTCCAAATTAAATGTTTGCATGTTCTGTTGGCAAATCAGGTTTTGGTACGCTTTCCTACTGGTGAACGCAAAGAAAGGAGGTTTCACAGTACTGCAACAATCCAATCTTTGTATGACTATGTTGATTCTTTGGGTTGCTTAGAGGTTGAGGATTACAGTCTTGTCTCCAACTTTCCTAGAGTTGCATATGGTCCAGAGAAGCGCTCCTTGACCTTGAAAGAGGCAGGATTACATCCTCAGGGCAGCCTTTTTGTGGAGCTAAACTAGTCTGAAGAAGTTGATAGTATCCAGTTGTATTATGAATGGTAGTTTCAAAGATTCCAGCAAGGGGAGTACATATTTTCTTATGTTTCTTTCTCGTTTCAACATAATTAGCAATGATAAATTGAGACAAAGATAGCTCCATGTCTCTGAATATTTCACTTTTCTTCAATCCAGATTCACTCAACCAAATGGCTGAGTTTAACATGGGCTTTTAGAATTCTGTAAGAATTCTACATGATCATGGTGTTCTTTATTCTGCCGCATGCCAGTTCAAGCGATGGCATGTCAAATGTTCTGACTTGAAAAACAGAACAGATAACCGGTTATTGTATGAGAACAATTTTTATACCGGTTATTGTATGAAAAAAATTTATCTGACGAGTATATGATACATGCTTCCTGGCTGCACTGTCTTTAGGAATATCATCCCAACTCCTAAGCGCCTGTTAGCAGTTCGTAAGTATATAGTTTCAAAGTTTTAATAATAAAAGGTTAAAGGAGGGAGTAATCATTTCATACAATTTTGAGTATCTTAACACCCATCACCATAATTTGTATAATAATGATATTTTTATCTAGATTTAACAATGAAATTGTCCATATTTGACTCTCAATTGGATCACAGATTGTTCCTCACTTGCAAGCCGGTGAACAACTTTAGGTCACCATGTTTATTTTTGCATTAGATTTTAAAAAAAAAAATGCATTCAATTATATGAAATAGACTTGCAGATGTCCAAGTTGATAAGCTATGAAATCAGAACGGACGTGAAGACATTGTCGAAACACGCTTAATATGGATATCCAGAATTAAGCAAAGAAAATGTGGTTAAACTAGCCTGAAAAATTGACAGGAATATTCTTTCCCTAAGAAAGAAATAGAGATGCCCATATTGCATGGTCCTCTAAAAAGATTCAGTGAGTGAAAAGAAAAGAGTTCTGATAATTTATGCATTGTCATGTGAAAACTGAAAAAGGTGGAAATGGACATGAAACAAACCTCCAATCAATATTAAGAAAAAATAAACAAATAAACACCCTGTCCTTAATGGAAAAGGAAAATGCCTTGGCCTGTTGAATGGTTCTAGTAGCCTTCGAGGGGGCATTAGTCGGCCTTCCATGGAAAAGGAAAATTGACGCTGATTTCCCGCCTTTATCTTTATTTTTTATATAATATGTTTATGGTATCCTCATGTTCTATCAGGATTAATCTCTTTTTAAGAAGATAACAGTACATTCTCTTATATCTTAGGTTTAAGATGTTACTTTCAAATTACTTCTCCCAAATATTAATTTTGAATGATGAAAAAAAGTAAATTCTTCTCTTATGAGTTGAATTCATTCTTTGTAATTGATTTAATGGGATCATAGTTTAAGCATCATTTGCTTTGTAAAGTAATTATGTTGTGAGTTAATATAATAGTTATTTTTAACACAATTAAGTTCAAATAATGTTATATGATAAATAAAAAATTTTAAATATTATTTTAATTAATATATTTATAATTTAAATATCGTATTAAATATTTTTAAATTTGAATATGATATTAAATATTTTTATTTTAATTTAAGATTATTTATTATATTAAAAAATTAAAAAAAATAGTTTGATTGGAAAACATGAGTTAGACCCATATTTTACGCGAAAAACGCTTATTTCTAGCTGGAGCACGCCGTTGGAGCCGGATTTTTTTTTTTTTTTTAACTTTATGCTTCCTCCACGCGCTTCCAACCTCTTCACGGGCCTCTCAATTTACTTTTTTAACCAAATCTAAATCCAAATGCACCGCACTTCCCTTGCTAATATCCATAAGCAAATACATTCACAAATTCACGGAGAAAAAAAGTTGCCAAGTCCAGCAACTTGGTTTAGCAATTAACACTGGAGTTCCGCGTCCCGTGAAAATTAGTAGTAGAATCCTTTTAAAAAACTACAACCCAAACGCACGCTTCTGAATGTGAGCGTGTGATTCCCCCCTACTCCTCAATCCCATATGTTGCTGGCGACAATGATAGCTGTGCTTCTGCTTCCTTAAAATAAAAAATTGATTACTTTTTATATAAAACGTTCTTTAGAATCCCTGCATCCTCAGAATTTAACAAATCCTGTGAAACCTAGAAAAGAAGGGGAAATTAAAATGCGGATAGCACCATGGGGGGAGAATTTTGGATTGGTGTAAAACCGAAGAGAAAATCGAATCAAGGAAGAAATAACTGTATGGAATTGGAATTTCGGGAACCTGAGGGAGATATGCGTTTGGTCGTGACCTACGGATGCCGGTTTCGATTCCGATCGGCATTCGATTCCTACTCGGTAGCTTGTGAGGCATTCTCTGAAAAACAACAACAGATTCTCTCTGCGTCGTGTTCGCTTCCAATCAGGGTCAAAATTGACCTCTAATAGCGTTTCTGCCTTTATTTTTTTCTTAAAATTTTTTTATTTTTCTTTTTTTTGTGGATTTTCTTTTGGCTGTTGTTGTTGGAAATTTCGATCGGGTTTTGTTGGTTGTGGCGGCGTTTAGTTCTTTGTACATAGAAAAAAATGGAGTCGGCTGATGATTGTGATATCGCTGAGAAAGATCCTTCGGGTCGGTACGTTCGGGTATGATTTTTTGGCTCCCAATCCTTTTGTTTATTTATTTATTTGTATATACATTTATTCGGTTTGGCTTTGTTAGGGTTTCTCAGAATCTGTTTGGTTTCCAAGAAACTTGGAGAAAAGCAATTTGACTTATAATTCTCGAATTCTGAGGGAAACTGGTGAACTTTTATATGATAATCAAATACTGCTTACTGTTTAGGCTTACGTTAGTAAGAGTTTTGGTAAATTGCTGTGCAAGGTACGTTTGTTCATCAATTTTCATAGCAACCAAACAGCGTTAAGTTTGAGTAATGCAATCAATTGACCAGAATTTAACCAAATTTGATTGTCCTTAGCTTATACTAAATTAATAAGTTTGGAAGTATCTCATCCTTGGCTCTTTTTAGAGCTCTTATATGTAAATTTTTTCTTGCCTTTTTGTTGCAAAGGGAAAATAATTGTTTTTTGTACTTCCATTTTTTATGAACATGACAAAATTTGATTATAAATAATGCCTTTAACGAAATTAAACTTAATATATACATATTGGCAACCAAATGCCAATTTTGTCCAAGCTATGCTTAAATTTTTATATATTCCTTAAATAGTTTGCTTTATTAGAATTAAATTAGTTTGTTCTTTTAATTTAGTGATACAAGTTTTGGTTTGTCTTGTTTAATTCCTTCAGTATGATGAGATCCTGGGAAAGGGAGCATTCAAGACTGTGTATGATTTCAAGACCTATCTCTTTAAATTTGGTTAACTTCGATAGGAATGTCTGTTTGATTGATTGTTCTGTTTTGGCTGCTACATTTTTATTTGTAGTTACAAGGGATTTGATGAAGCTGATGGAATAGAGGTTGCATGGAACCAAGTCAATATTGAAGATGTATTGCAGACACCTGAACAGCTGGAAAGATTATATTCTGAGGTTCATCTTTTGAAGTCATTGAAACATGAAAATATTATCAAGTTCTACAATTCCTGGGTGGATGATAAGAACAAGACCATCAACATGATTACAGAGTTGTTTACTTCAGGGAGTTTGAGGCAGTGAGTTCCTTGAACTTCTTTTCTTTTCCCATTCCTTGTCATTCATTTTTTATATGTTGACACTTGCTTTCACCTTTAGATACCGTAAGAAGCATAAGAGTGTTGATTTGAAGGCCATAAAGAATTGGGCTCGGCAGATTCTTAGAGGTTTACACTATCTGCATAGTCACCATCCTCCGATCATTCATAGAGATTTAAAATGTGATAATATATTTGTAAATGGAAATAATGGAGAAGTCAAGATTGGAGATCTTGGATTGGCAACTGTCATGCAGCAGCCCACTGCCCGAAGCGTAATTGGTACTTCATTTTCTCAAAAATAAGTAATGCTGTGACTTCAGCTAAACCATTTTGGTTGAAATTTTTAATGCTTTGATGCTTGTGCAGGCACTCCTGAATTCATGGCACCAGAGCTTTATGATGAGGAATATAATGAGCTTGTTGATATATATTCTTTTGGTATGTGCATGTTGGAGATGGTTACTTGTGAATATCCATATAATGAGTGCAAAAATCCAGCTCAAATATATAAGAAAGTTACCTCTGTAAGTTGACAACTATCTACAATTCTTCATATCTTCCACAATTCTCTTTTAATTAGTTGTTTGAACTCTCTCAACTTCTTTCCCTGCAGGGTATTAAACCTGCTTCCCTTGTTAAAGTGAATGATCCCCAAGTTAAACAGTTTATTGAGAAATGTCTTCTTCCAGCATCTATGAGATTGCCAGCTGTGGAGCTCTTGAAAGATCCATTCCTTTTGGCTGAAATTCCTAAGGAAGTTCCTAGTGGTCTACCGCAGTTACCAAGTCTTATGCCCAAATTAGTAAACTTGATCCAGTCTGAACCTCATCCAATGGACATAGATCCAAACTGCAAAAAACTTCTGATCAATTCATCCACCAAAAGCATCAAAGAAACTCCTCAGTTCTCAACTCTTGAGCTACAGTGTCTCACTGAGAATAATGAATTTAGGTTAAAAGGGGAGAAAAATGATGATAATACAATTTCATTGACCTTGCGCATTGGTGATCAATGTGGTAAGTGAATCTGCTATACAAGAAGTTTTATTCTCTTCTTATGTTAAAAAAAAAAAAATTATGCACTATTGCCTGTCTTTTAACAGGTCGAGCAAGGAATATCCATTTTACATTTTATCTAGACTCTGATACTGCAACTTCAATCGCTGAGGAGATGGTTGAACAACTTGATTTGTCGAATGAAAATGTAACTGTCATTGCAGAGTTGATTGATAGCATGATCATGAAGCTTATACCCTGTTGGAAACCTTCATTTGGAAACATTTCATGCCTACGAGATGGCTTCTGCTGCCCAAGTCAGGCCAGTATTAAGACAGTTGGTGAGCAAGAAGTTTTCTCAGAGTTGGCTGTTGTAAAATGTCAAGACACCCCAGAATCTGTCAGTTCAGATATATCAGCTGAATCTGATGGAATGTTGGCTTCAGATGGGAGTAATAACAAACCAATGGGATATTCTGGTTACAGTTATGGTGAATGCCATCAAGGTTCAAACACATATGATTTTGGTTCAGGTATTGGGGTTTACAATCATCTCGGGTGTAAAGAGACTGGTGATGAGGAAAACCTTGGGGAATCTGTTCTGATAAACGACTCAGCAAAGTACTCTGATACATCCTTAATGGATTCTTGTGCTTTTGCATCACAAGATATGAGCTTGTCAAGCATATGCTCTCTATCCCTAGCAGACAAGGATAAGTTTGTCGAGCTGAAGTTGGAGCTTGATGCGATTGATTCACAGTATCACCAGTGTTTCCAAGAGCTCATGAGGATGAGAGAAGGAGCAATAGAAAACGCCAAAAAGAGGTGGATAACAAAGAAGAAAGCATTTGTGATGTAATGTACAGATTTACCTTGCCAGAGATTTAAGTTTTCTCCGGCTCCCTTAGCTTGTGATAGTTACTTTTTTTTTTTTTTTGCTGTGTCTGTTGCATTGGAAGAAATTATTTCTTGACAGATTTCATTTATTTGGTTTATTTGATTTATCATATTGTTTCTTCTTGATCATTGAGACCTTGACTCTAAATGTGACTTAAATTTTATGGATAAGTACGAAATGGACCACTTTTTGATTTGATATGTTCATCCATTTGACATCGACTTTGTCAAGTTACACTCATTATTTTCATAAATACTAAAAAAAATTCATTTCACATTGAGCAATGGATTAATTAAAATTCTGTGTGTTAAAGGTGAAATGTTAAAATCCTAGTTTTGCATTTAATAGAGTGCAAAAAGTTCCTAGTGAAATCACATCTCATTACTCAAAAGGTATTCTAAGTTTCTAGTGAAATTACATCTCATTACTCAAAAGGTATTGTAACTAATAGAAAAAAGACATTGACTGTAAATATTTGCGAAAGTTTTGGCCCTTTTATAATCTGATAAAAAGACAAAACAGAGTGGCCCTGCTTGAATTTGTTGACTTACGGAACCTCTGCTCTTATTAGTTTCCAAAATGTGGAACACATGCTTTCTGCTTGATTAGCCAAAGCAGGACAAGCACTTTGGTTTAAGTGGCGATAAAGCCTAAAAGCAGGCAATCAGGATGGAAAGAATAATTGCACATATTACTATCTATTGTTCCCATCTCAAATTTAGTTTCTTCCCAATTATTTAGTTTCAATTATAGGTTTCTTCTGTATCCAAATTGTGGTATTTCTTCTCAATCTTTCAATCTTTCTGCAGCTGATTTTTAAGGATCCATATCCCCTTTACCACCAACAATACCAATGAGACTAGGGACAATCGGCGCCCCCCAAACGTAGGACCAGTCAGATTGATGATAATGCTTCACTTGGACCTTCCATATGATCAAAATAGAAGCTAGAAACCAGTTGAATTGTCATCCCCATAACCAGAATTGATCAGGTACTAAAAAATTTTAAAAGATAACCGAAGCAACACGAAGACCTCGCTGCTAATCTTGATAGAAAGAGCTTATGGACAAAAAAAAAAAAAAAAAAAGAGATTTCTAGGGGATACCAAAATGAAGCTTATAGGTACAGCTAGTGCACATGGTCTTACGCTTTTGTTGGGATAAAAATTGAGGCCATAAACACTCTTTAAGTCAAAAATTTTGTAAGCTTTAAGCTTAATATCAATGTTTCACAGACTGAAACAGTGCCACTTGTATTACTAAACTAGAGATTTTATCATAAATATCCCATAAGTTGTGCTTCTGACAACCTGAAAAATAGTTTTACTGAAGCCACACAGGTATTGATGCCATTATTTATAAGTAGTTGGAATTAGCATCAGCAATTACAGAAAAAAGTATAATTTCAAAAATCAATTATGAAGATTCAGTTAATTATTCACTTTAACCAGTCTCATTCTCATCTGATCCTCCAAAGGGAGAATAAACTGGTGTTATACCCCAGATGTGTGAAAAACAGAAGTTGCTGTAACACTAATTCTATGTAAAAAAGTCTGGAGACTCAGATACTTCCAGTAACCTGTATATACACATTAAAACATCTAAAACACCTTATAAATCACTCGGGCTTTTTCCAGTTTCCATGAAGATACCTTGTGACACAAACACATGTTCTTACTAAAATCAAATACTCATTAATATTTAAGCAAGTCAATCTTGATAACAAACATTTAAAATTGGCTAAATATCTATAAACAGCCTCAAAGATGAAAACTTTCTTTCTACCACATATGATATCTTGTCAATTACAATAATCACCTGCAGCACATTACTCGGGATTTACTTCTACTGACAAAACAACTTCCTCAATTATTCCGCATGCATCATCACATCCCACATCAGGTCCAGGCTCAACCCAAGAAATATATCCTAGTCAACAAAGGAGAATACTAAGATGCCACTGAAGATATAACTTCTAGCCATATCACATAACATATCCTGTTTCTCAGCTCCAATCACATCAATGAAAAGCCATTGGCACATAAATCTGATAAGGTTGTAATGATAACATACTAAGCTAATTCATAACTGTGAATGCATGTTTACTTTCTGTAAACAGGAAGTAGCAGGTGCAGACTACAGGAACAGAAATGAACACGGATTACCTATGACTTCTTGTAGGTTATCATATTTAGCCACAGTCAGAAAACAGAAGTCATAGAAACAGTATGTTAATCGGTGATGGGAATGTGAACAGAACTCATAGAAACAGCATGTTAGTCTGTGATGGGAATGTGTTAGAAATGAATAAAATTTACTAAATGCAGGTTCAATCACATGCTGAAATACAAAGTTGAGAGAATCATTCACAATTTTATTAACATAATGAATAATATCCAGTACAATATCCACACAAGGAACACAACAAGAATGCACAGGGAAGAACAATACATGAATATTTTCAATTGAGGAGAAAAAAAGCACAGAAAGGCATCCATACACCTTCTAGATCAAGAGAGAATCATCCAGAAAATTTACATGGGTACTACCAGTTCTCTTTGACAATTTTTGACTTCTCAAGAATGAATTTCCCTTCCTTGTACTTCTGTGTTTCCTCATAAGCCCGCTCATATTTCCAACCCAACACTTCACGGCAATCACAGCAGTAGACATCAGCCACCGTGTGAAGACCAGTCATCAGTTGTCTATCCTCCTTAGGACCCACCATTATGTTCATTGCATGGGAGAACAAAAAGGCTCGACCATTTCTCCCCTGAAATTCATATTGTAAATGAACCTTTGGAACATACATATATTTATATAATGTTTTTAGAAAAAAAAAATTTTCTCTATAAGAAAAGTAGAAACAGAGATGAAGTTTGACTTAGTTGAACTTTGACTTAGTTGAACCTAATGCAACATATAGTCCCAACTTCCAAATGACAGAAACTTCATTTGAACAAACATTTAAAGGGCAAAGGTTTTCATAAGCAAATTTCTAGTTTTCCTTTCATTTTCATGATAACCTCTGAAAGAGATCATCTTTTAATCTATTAATGGAATCGGCAAAAATAAATTCAGCAGAGGGGTATAAAGGCAGCAAAATTAGTGTTGAGTTCCCTACCTGAAAAGACTTGGATATAACATCATCGTGAAGGGCAACTTGGTTTCTGCAATTGCAGCAACTGTACAACCTTGGTCCAACGATTTCCGCCATTTGGCAATTATTTATCACCACTCAACTGGTTACCACTCCCACAAAAAATATATTATCATAAATCATGAAAAAAAAAAAAAAAAGAGACAAAACAGAGTCATAAAAATTCAAGCCAAAATCAATGAATATCACATCAAAGATAATAAAATTAATCAAAAGCTTACGTTGTATACACCAACAAACTATACAATATACACTGCCAATCAACCTTTGTTTGACAAAACAACTGCATCCACAGCCAAAATAGAGTACTTGAAATGTTAATGAAGAAATGCAAAAAGCGCAAGTCAGAGACAATTTAAGACAGCACCGGTGCCATAAATTCACTGTTAATAAGGGATAAAAGAATATAACCGATTGAACAATAAGAAAAGATTAGGTTTAAGAAACAAGTTGAAAGCAAAAAATCCAGTAATTAACAGGAATTATAACAACCAACAACCAAAACAAGTCAAGCTCACCAAAGAAAAGCCCAGATTTTCAACAACAAGAGATCATGTTCAGAAAATAAGTAAAATGTTAAACCTTGTAATTGAAAAGAGGCAAAAAAAAGAGAAGCCTATGAAAAGATCAACACTAACCAGAATAACGAAAACCCAGTTATGAGAAGAAAGCTAAAGAAAAACCCATTATTCTTAGACAATGAACAATTTAATGCAAAGATCAATTGGGGAGATCAATGAAAGAACAAGAAAAAGCATCAAGAAAAAGGAGAGGCACGTATTGATTTTTTTAAAGCGTAGTGTTCGGTTCGAACCTGGGCAGAGTCCCATGCTTTTTTGTGTAGTGAGACAACTTAGGGTTTTCCTTCTTTCTTTCTTTTGTTTCTGAACTGTGAGACTGTGTCGGAGTTTGGTGGATTTTTCACTTTTTTCTGATTAGAAGACGACAACTCACGTTTGAACAAAAAAAAAAAAAAAAAAAAACAATTTACATTGGAGGTTTCAACAATTGACATGGAATTGTCTCACAAACTACCAATCTGCCATTTCTATTTTCTTTTGTCCACTACAGACTAACTATCAAAGTTAATACAAGCAGAAGAAGAAAATTTTGGGATTTTGCTATTGCGTCACCTCTGTCTCAGTTGCGTATTTGCCGCTTGGAAACGGTGGAACCTTCCATCTTTCTTCCATTTTCTACCTGCCTATGTAATTGTAAATTGTAATTGTAATTGTATTGTAGCTATCTTCATTCCAACTTCCAACTATTTATGTCTTTTCTTTTCTTTTTGACCTTTTCTTTTTATTTCTTTTGGGAGCGATGAAAAAAACAAATCATTTCAAGGTAAAAACCGAAATAAATTGAAGTCTTCTCTTTTGCAACCATAAATAATAAAAAAAAAAAAAAACTTGAGAAATCAATGAAAACAAAAAAAATGTAGGTGTTAACACCTTTTTCTCAAATTATTCGTCCATCAACAATCAAAATAATCTCACAAGATAATGAAAAGACATGACTTCGGTATCAAAATTTTTTCATTCTTCCCCCGCAACCATCTCAATCGTGATCAGGTAGCTAGATATTCAGCATTTATTTCTATTTTCCCACTTGGTCCTAACTTGTTGGTTTGCGTATATTTTCATCATAAAGAGAGTCGTTCCATACATATTAATGTGGCTCGATCTTTACGATGCAAAATAATCAAAGAGGGTCCAGCCAGACAATAATAAAAGCTTTCCTGTCATTGGGTATCATTGTAAGTTGGTCCACAATCTATTATTCTTCCGATAGAAAAATTTCTTTCCTGAGAGTCCGGTGAAATTCTAATGCATGCCGAAGGCTCGATTAACAAAGATCTTTTTATTGCAAGATTTAGACAAATGCGCATTAAAGATGTTCAATGAAAAAAAGGGGTTAATCACCTAACTGACTAAAAATACTTCTGCTAAATTAAGAGTATCTTTCATGTCATTTTAGCAGATTTGCTGGATCATGTCATCACTTAATTTTAAATATGAAATAATAATATAATGTGCAAAAAATGAAAATAATATGTTTTAAAATTTTAATGAAAATTTGTTTATGAATTTAACAAAAATAAAAAAATATGTTTAGACGCATATTATGATAAAATAAATTATATATTTTTTACATATTTAACATGAATTAAAAAACTTGAATACTGGAATTTACACACCGAATTCATGATATAAAAATAAGCAAACGTTATTTTTGGCTGTTTGCCTAAGCTAGCCAATTAGTCTTGAGCCGCAAATAAAGAACATGTGGTAGATGACTTGCAACGACAAGCCAAGATTCTTGAATCTGAATAAATCTCGGAACCAGACACTCATAAGACATACAGATATAGCTGATCGGTTACCTGTTAAGTTAGGTTGGAGAAGTTCTGTACCTTCCTTGTTTGGTGAAAGTCCAATTTTGGACTAAAATTCTGGAATTTCAGCCTTCAACCTCTCAATTATTTTGTTCTCTGCTGGTTCGGTTGAAAGGGAAGTTATATCATATCATGATAACCATTAATTTAACAGAAATGTTAATTTTGAAACCTCTAAAATTCTCATTACACGTTTTATCAATTCACTAAATAAATCAAGCTTTCTATATTAGCTCTCTGGTGGACCGGCAGCTCCAAAGGCTGATGATCACCTAACCATTTGTGGGTTAGTATATAGTTAAATCAGCCAAAAATTTCAATCCAACAGTTTTTACATCTAATCCAGTATTGGCAATTGTAGCAAGGTCAGCAGACTTCAAGATTTCTTCTAGCCTCTAAAATTTGTCAAACTGGCCTCATTTTCTGCTCTAACATGCTCTAGCAAATAAGAATCCATTTGTTTTGTGGTTTTGCTCAAGTCGCCCAAGGAAAAGAACCGAGCCATGGAAGAATCGAAAGATGAGATAAGAGCTCCTCTCAGTAAGTTCCTCTTTTTTTTCAACCTGTAAAACCCAGCAAAACTTGATGTTTTTGTTCTTGTTCTGAGACATTTTCTTTTTGTGTTTCTGTTTTTGTGCAGTACCTAAAGATGAGAAGGATGAAGATGTTAGCAATACATACTCCGCCTCCTCATCATCATCACAGGCCATGCCATCAAAATTTCAATCAGAGATCAAAGAAGTGCAAGAAGAAGAGGAGAACTCACCCGTTAGACAAGTGGCCTTAACCGTACCAACCACAGATGACCCTTCTCTACCAGTCCTCACATTTCGAATGTGGGTCTTAGGCACTATTTCATGTGTCATCCTATCATTTCTTAACCAGTTCTTTTGGTACCGCACAGAACCGTTGACAATCACGGCCATCTCTGCCCAGATTGCAGTGGTTCCTCTTGGCCGATTGATGGCTGCCAAAATCACAGACCGTGTTTTCTTCAAAGGAACTCGCTGGGAATTCACCTTGAATCCAGGGCCCTTCAATGTCAAAGAACATGTTCTTATTACAATCTTTGCCAACTCTGGAGCTGGCAGCGTCTATGCCATTCATGTTGTGACTGTTGTTAAAGTGTTTTATAAGCAGCACATTACTTTCTTTGTCTCATTGATTGTTATCATAACGACTCAGGTCAGTTCTTGTTTTGTTAATTCTTTTCAATTTTTCCCTAATCTTTTCAGTGTTAAGGTCTTTTTGTTTTGTTTGGTATGTTTTGGGTTAGGTTTGAATATATAGTCTGGTGGCTTTTGAATGGTAGGTGTTGGGATTCGGATGGGCTGGTATATTCAGGAGGTACCTAGTGGAACCAGCAGCTATGTGGTGGCCTGCAAATCTTGTTCAAGTTTCTCTCTTCAGGTAATCCGGTTGATTTTGTATGATGATAATGTTCTTCTTGTATGCGATTTTAATTGTCGGTCCAGATAATCCTGGATTCCGGTGAATTTGGGTGGCCAGTGGCCACGCTGGGACTGGCTGATATCTTTTCTTGACATACCATATTCCTTCGTTCTATGAGTTCCCTTGTTGGCTGTTGCGTAAAAAAAAAAAAATGGAATGATTAGTTTATTCTTTCCTTATTAGACTTGATAGGCCATATTGCAACATGCATGTAATTGACTAGGGGCACTGGCAACGCGACATGTTGCTTGAGGACAGGCAGCACTTTGGATAGAGCAAGGCGTGAATTTTGGCTATTTAATTTGGTCAGAGTTTTCTGTTTTGGCGTAACTGCATTGGCTTTAATTAGGATCTGATTTTCTTACCCTGATGGCCATTCTCAGCTTGAGTGTTCCACCGGGAAACCTCAGCTGGACCTAACTGATGGGAAATCTTTTGAAGAACAGCCAAACTCCAATTTTTTTTTTCTGCCTTTGTTTAAGATTCAATATTTTTCTCACGTGAGATCCAAGTTGCCTATTGAAAACAGGCTTAAAACTAGAGCAACTAGCAAATAGAAAATGAAAATATCTTAGAAAATTCATGGACCCCTCATTGAGCCTTCGGGCCCAAAGAAAAATAAGTCCTCAAAAGATTTTTGCCCCACCAAATAGAGGTTTAAGCTAAGACCATCGTCAGGCTTTTCTGTTGTTAAAGCATCACACTGTACATTTATCTTGGCAGGGCACTGCACGAGAAGGAAGAGAGGGCCAAGGGTGGGGTGACGAGAACCCAATTCTTCCTAATTGCCTTGGTTTGCAGTTTTGCTTACTATGTCTTCCCAGGCTACCTCTTTGAAATGTTAACGTCCCTCTCTTGGATTTGCTGGATATTTCCGAAATCTGTGCTAGCCCAACAACTCGGTTCAGGCCTGTATGGGCTAGGAATAGGTGCTGTTGGGCTCGACTGGTCCACCATCTCCTCTTATCTTGGTAGCCCGCTTGCAAGCCCATGGTTTGCCACAGCAAATGTTGCTGCAGGATTTATCCTAGTCATGTATGTTTTGACTCCCATCTGCTACTGGCTTAATGTCTACAAAGCCAAAACCTTCCCCATATTCTCCGACGAACTCTTCACGTCGACAGGTCATGAATACAATATCACATCTATCATCGATTCGAATTTTCACCTTGACATTGCGGCTTATGAAAAAGAAGGACCTCTATACCTTAGCACATTTTTTGCAATGACTTATGGTGTTGGTTTCGCTGCACTGACTGCTACAGTTGTTCATGTTGCGCTATTTCATGGAAGGTGATTTCGTATACTGTAGATTTGCCTCCAATTACCAATTACGCTTGAAATTGTCTTAAGTGGCATGTTGAAGCTCACTTTAGCTGTAAACTGCAGAGAAATATGGGAGCAAAGCAAAGCTAGTTTCCAGGAGAAAAAAATGGACATACATACCAGACTCATGAGGAAGTATAAGCAAGTCCCTGAATGGTGGTTTGTGTGCATCCTTTTGGCAAACATTGCTGCCACCATATTTGCCTGTGAGTATTACAATGACCAACTTCAGCTTCCATGGTGGGGAGTTCTACTAGCATGTGGTATTGCCATTGTATTCACACTTCCTATTGGCATCATTACAGCCATCACAAACCAGGTATCCTCTATCATATGCTGCTGCAATCACAACATATTAAGTTGTTTATCGACTGTATATATATACTCCTAACTTTAATTTTCTTCAAATAATTCATTCACAGCTTTACATCACTGATCAATTTGTGTTGCAGACACCAGGCTTGAACATCATCACTGAATATATAATTGGGTATATATATCCAGGATATCCAGTAGCTAATATGTGCTTCAAGGTGTATGGATACATAAGCATGACACAGGCTGTTACCTTCCTGCAAGACTTCAAGCTTGGTCACTATATGAAAATTCCGCCAAGAACAATGTTCATGGCACAGGTCTGTTTATATCACAAAAAAGGTACTTTTCCTTCTGCAGAATGTTTTTTTCGCACAAAATTAACAGTTCCTTCCTCTTGTATTAGATCGTGGGCACCATCATTGCTTGCTTTGTGTACCTGGGAACTGCCTGGTGGCTGATGGAGACCATCTCTGATATTTGTGACACAACAGCCTCCGATAGCGTCTGGACTTGTCCAAGTGATACTGTGTTTTACGATGCATCTGTTATCTGGGGTTTAATAGGGCCTCGAAGAATTTTCGGAGACTTGGGAACTTATGAGGCTGTCAATTGGTTCTTCCTTGGTGGAGCAATTGCTCCAGTTCTTGTCTGGTTGGCCTCCAAGGCCTTCCCTCATCAAGAATGGATCAAGCTCATTAACATGCCAGTCTTGATAGGTGCCACAGGAATGATGCCACCAGCTACTGCAGTCAACTATACTACCTGGATCATTGTTGGCTTCTTCTCTGGCTTCGTTGTGTATAGGTATCGACCTGATTTGTGGCAACGATACAATTATGTTCTTTCCGGGTCATTGGATGCTGGCCTTGCTTTTATGGGTGTGCTGTTATATTTGTGCTTGGGATTAGAAAATATTAGTCTAGACTGGTGGGGAAATGATCTTGATGGATGCCCACTGGCTAGCTGTCCAACAGCCAAAGGTATAGAGGTTGAAGGCTGCCCAGTTTTCACCTAGGAGTCCGAGAGTTTATCTCTTTGTAAATCTTGAAGATTCTTTGTAAATCTTGAAGATGTGTAACTAAAAAAAAAATGAGTACGCTAATAATGAGTATTAATTAGTATAAATTAAAAATAATAGCAAGATACAATCATATTGAGATTGTCTAAGGAAATACTCGATTACTTTGAAAAAAGAAGACTCTAAATTGGAATTTAAATAAAAGTAATATAATTTAATAATGAATAATTATTGTTCTAGGGGATCAAAGTAGCAATGTTTTTTCACATATTGATTTTGCAAAGTGAAAATTGATAGAGCACTTAATTACCAATATTAAGATTTAATTGCACCCAAACATTTTTAATGATCGGCATATGATCTTTTGTTGAAAAAAACAAATTTTGAATTTTTTTTTCTTCAATAAAATAAATAAATAATAAGACTTAGAGCAATGCCAGGGGCAGTTGCTTATAATTTATTCAGGCGCCTGTGAGGGAATCTTATCCCTCCGGCAAATTTAGCCACAAGTTCATTTGTAATGATTTTCTATCAAAGCATCAAATTATGCCCCTTTTTACTGTTTTTCAACTTGTTAGAACCAGCCATCTCTGATCTCTTCTTTTTCCTTGTACATTTCAATCTATATCTAAGCTGATGCTAAAAGTTTAAAAACTGTGACCATGACCCACTGAATCAAAGAGACAAGCTATGTCTGTGTAGTATTGGCAAGAATCATAACCAAATTAACTGGCAATTAAAACATAAATTAATGGAACTGGGAGGCTTGAAGGTTGAACTTTGAAGACTTGAAGTATTTTAATCGCTAAAGTGATTTTTCCTCCTTTCTTTTTTTCTAGAAAAGGGCAAAAGAAGCCCAACTCCAATCTCTTCTTTACAAGCTCATAGATTCTGTCCTGTCTGCGAATCTAAACGCATGAATACACGTAAAAGTAAAACAAATACTAAAACACAGAAAGCTATCTTACAAGACTCTGCAACTCTTCCCGTCACACTATTCATTCTCTTTGAAGTTTGATCACTCAAAAGAATTACAAATCTGAGAAAATTTTTTTATGAACCAATATACCAGATATTTAGAGAAAATAAATAAATGCCAAAATGAAAAAGATACAAAAATATTTTCTGGTTGGGTTTGAAAATTTGACACTATTAAGAGTAACCATGCCCTTCACATCATGGCATTGATTATTGCCCATCTGGCTGATGCAATAACGGCTGTAATTAAGAGTGAAATCCTAGCGATGGAGAAGAAGATGGCGGTTGAGGGATTGTGCCTAAGACAGTGGGGTAAGAGGGTGAAGATGCAGTGCCAGACAAAGCACTCGGACCATAAGAGGGAGCATATGCAGAGCCATTCCCTGAAAGCACAGAAATGTATAGCTTCTGTTTCTTTTCACAGTGACCAGGTTCCCCACTGGTGAAGACAAACTCCCCGGGTATAGTGATTTTAAAGAAAGAGTTGCCATTATTCATGTACAGGATTGGATCTTTGAGGTTGCAAGAGTTGTAGGATTGTTCCGTGACTTGGATAACTGAATCTTGACTTGGTGGATATAAGAACACTGCAAAGAGAAAATAAGCAGCAAGAATGAAATCCGAAGAGGAATCCACAATGGAAAGAAAGAGATAAAGGGGACAGAAACTTACAGAGAGTCTCCCATCTTGAAGAAGTGTTACTTGGACCATGTGGCATATACCTGCGGGGTTTGCTGATGTGGGAATACTCCAAGCATCTAAATCTTCAACCTTGTATTGATAGCTTAGGACTTTGGTTTGCATTAACAAAAGAAACCGAAAAGCACTGAAGAAATGATATCTAGGACCTCTAAGATTGGCCATCTTTACCTGTTCTCTCACTCTCTTAACTTTTCTCTCTCAAATTTAGGAGTGAGTGAGGACACTGACTCATAGGACAAAGGAGAAGTGAAATCTTATTGGCCTCAGCGTCTAAACAGAAATTGCTGGAGCCAAAAGAACTAGTTGCAGATTAATTTACCCGACTGCCCTCCTTCCCGAGGGATTCAAAATTCAATAATTTTTTTGAAATGGTCCATAATTAAACACCCATAGAATAAAACTGTCCAGATATCAGAAAATGGATGGTTGATATAAAACTTTGATGAAGTAGAGATCTTATTGGATATCATCTTTAGCTGCATGTCACATGGACAAGTTGGATAAGTGAGTCTTGAAAATGAATTCTATTCAACGATGATTAATGTCGTAGTTAACTTTTTTTTTTTGGGGGGGGGGGGGGGCGATAGACAAGGAAATATAGCCTTTTGGAGGGCAGAATTGGGAAGGAAATCAATCATATGGGTAATAATGTATTACTGTCAGATGGACAAGTTGGATAGTCACTCCCAGCTGTGCTCAAAAGGGGAATTTAAGGTTGGAACTCGGAAGATGGTGTAACATGGGAAGTGGGGATGGCTTATCAAAATGAAATTAGATAAATTGTTTCACTTCATTATAATGTGCCTGGCAAATCTTCTTGTGATTAATGATGTAAAGTAGAGCGGGTTCGAGGTTCGAACATGGCACTTTTCGGCCAACGTATGACTTTTAGTAACTTGTTTGAATCAATGCTTCTGGAAAACAGTGGCCGGAGATTGGAAAGACAGAATGGGGGCGTTTACAATGTACAGAAAACTGAAGGGCACTGCCATCATAGTTCATATGGTATCAATATATTCTATAACACTATGACAAAGCTGGTTCTACGACAGTTGAATAGAAAATGCAGTCTATATTAATTTATCATCTATCCAGTAAATCCACTTCTGCTCTGAATTTCCCGTCAATTGTCGTTTGATTTCGAAAACTAGCTAATAAATCCCATTTGGAGCTAAGGTAGAGTCAGGGATTTGAATTTGAGTGATAACTCACAGGGCACTTGCCCAATCTCATTGCGTTTCCTTGAGTGCTTACATAAAACAAAAACCAAATTACATGATGATAAAAATATATATACAAATTATCCAGAATAGGCAAGAAACGGCTGATCCAACTTGCATATAATGTAATTTATGGAACTGGTAAGAAATTTCCTGCAACCAAACCTAATATTGGCCAAAAAAAAAATAATAAAACCAAAGAAAGGTAGATATGAAGAAAGAGAAGGAATTGAAGATTGAAGTGATTTGTCTCTATTGGTCGGATAGATTTTAAACATTTATTTACTTCAAATAAATAAATTCTAGACGACTAACCATGTGAGAGGAGACAAGTCCTCACTGTTATGACGGCTGTTTTAGCATGCTTATGATAACAAAATGAGACCAATATCCAGGAACTTTGACCTATACCACTATATATTTTATAAGTTAACAATTAACATGTTCTTTTGAAATAGTGATTGTAGCTAAGAAGAAAACATGACCTAAAAACTATATTTCTGTCATTCTTTTAACAAAAAACAGTACTTAAAGCCCTCGCATGCAGCCTCGAACTTCATACCTTCTAAGCAAATAGGACTAGGCTCACACTCCTTGTTTACCAGATGGCAAACAGCTTAAACAAATCGCAGCTCCAACAGTTATAACAAGAAAATTAGTCGGGCTGCGAGCACTGAAACAGTTTCATGTTTAGAAGTTTATTCCCTATGACATCAATTAACCATTTAATGGATCAGCCTCGGAATCCATCTCTTTCATTGCCGTCCAGTCTTGTGATCCTGCAAGTAAAATCATATTAAGAGAGTATATCATATAGTAACATATATACACCAAGAAAAGTATTTGAAGCTTATAATAAGTAAGATTTATTATAAAAGAAAAACTGCTTTTCAGACAATGAATCTCAAAGGTGAAACATATAGAAGAATCACAAGGCAAATATAGAACTTACTTGACTTGTGGATCTCTGCAATTACCATGAGACGCCTCTGCAAGATAGAGGCCACAAAAAGGAAAATCGAGCACATGCCAAACATGACGGTCATGGGAAGTGCTTTTACCTTTCAAAGAACAATTTAGCAAAATTAAAAACAAAAGAACCAATTAATGACAAGAAGTTAGTGCTTCACTTTTGACTAGTTAAACCATGAGAAAGATTTATTCAACCATGTTCCAAAAGAGCTTTTACTGGCTGCGTTAACCCAAAAATGAGAATGCAAGTAAAGAAACAAAAAAAAAAAATGTAGAATGATAGACTTACATTGTATAATGCAATGCACACAAAGATGTTGAGAGGAATGCGAAAGAAGTTCATGATAGTGCTTCTAGCCTCCTCTGGAATGTATTGAGACCTCATCTTCATAATTGACGGCCAGAAATCCCAACGCAGGCTTCAAATGTGCAGAAACCAATGAGTTGGATATTCCCTGAAAGTGAGATGCTTCCACCTTTCACAACTGACGGTGCTACCAAGAACTGTAGAGACTTACGGTTAATTTATGGTGACTAGCAACTTTTCCATGAAGCTTTTTAAGAGGAGGAAGAAAACATTGAAGGGGAAAAAGAAGAGAAAGGAAATGGAAACAAGAAATGAAATATGCACAACGTACATTTGTGATAACAGGAAGCAGGAGGGATGCTGAAGCGATCATGAATACAATCTGCATATAGCTTTCAACTTTTGGGCTTGGGTGAGCCAGCAGCCGTGAGGCAATGGAGCTTCCCAGCATTGAAGATAACATGAAAGTCGCAAAAATAAAACCGTGTGGGATATCCTCGTCATTTGGGCTCAAAGCTGGGGTCCAGAGGAACACAAAGGTGTACATTGAACCTTCAAACAGGGATTGTATGGCACCCAGTAAAGTAATTTTCTCATCTGATGGCACATAGTTCTTGGATTAGTAGACTTCCCATCACATTATAGAGATAGAAAAGATGAGCAAAAAATACCCAACGAAAACCTGGATAAATATCTCTTTTTATTTTAATGTTTTTTTACCCAAAGCAAGAAAACAAGCATTCATAGCATTTATCCGATGCACAAATTCTTAATTGACAGGCAGTTTTGATTTTTCCTCAATGCAAAAGAACTGTCTAGCTAGGAAGTAAAAAATAAAAAAAGAATTTGGATTCACCAGCAGCAATGGCTGCAGCAGCACCCCTGAATTGAGTAAGTAAGTCCTTGCTTTCCGAAGGGTCACCATAATTTTCAGTCCATGAGGACCATATAATTATCATGCCTATTGCTAGAAAGCAAGATGCAGTATCAAATGGAGCAACAGGACCTAATTGCAAATTATCCACCAGTACATTACCAAACAACCCAGATAAAATTGCCATCAAGCCATTTCCAAGAAATATTGCCTTTGAGAATGTTATAGAAAGCCATTGTTGATCAAAACCTCGCTGCCAAATCCAGAATTGGTAATAAGATGTAGAATTAAGGCATTTACAAAAACAAACACTGGTATCAAAGTAAAAATCCATTGCGTAAGTAAACATCCAGTAGTTTTCTGATAAGACTAGCCAACAACTTTGAGGAATTTGTAAATTATGACACTCAGATAGAGAAAGAATAAATTGTACTTTATCTATTATTCAAGAATTAATCAGGAAACTCAAAAGCTGTTATCTTTTGAAGTCAAGACTTTAGGTTATGTTTCAGTAGTAAATCAGAGAAACCTAAAATAACAGTAACAACTATAAGCTTAGAAAACAGCAGGTTTAACAGCATAGCAATTGCACACCTTGTTGTGTTCTGCAACAAGCCAAGATTCGAAGGCTGAAAAGAGAAGAGAAGTTGCAATGCCTCCCAACACTCGTCCCAGCATTAAAACCTTGTACTGAGGAGAATGTTTGGTAATGCAGCCGAGTATGTATGTTATGCAGTAAGTAACACATGCCCTCTTTCGACCCCTAAATTCAGCATGCAATAATTCAGGAATCAATAAGGATAGAAAATTATGAGGAGTGTGAAACAACGTAAGATCTTACTTTTTGTCGGCTAGAGATCCAACAATTGTCCCAAACAACATGGAAGATCCAAAACCAGCTATAAAGAGGTGGCCAATCTCCCCGTTCCCAAATCCGTATTGACTGTAGAGGTAGTTAACATATGGCCCCTGCAACCAATCCCCAGCTGTGTTTGTTTTTTTTTTTTTCATGATCAACATAACCAGCTTTAGCATAAGAAGAAAATTAGATAAGCAAAATAACCAAATAGATAATTGTCAAATCAAATGGAGACTCATTACTCAATGACATTTAAAGGAATGCAAAACCTTAATTATTACCTGAATTTGGCTAAAATAAACAGTAAGATATTAAAAAAAATAAAGAAAACTGAAACAGAAGAAACCAGAAACAAAGCGTCAGTGATTAATGTCAGATTCTAATGTGTTTAAAGAAAGTAAAGAGTACTGGTAAAATTGAATCAACCTCTCCTCAGCATATTTTGTTAGCCAAAACAGAAGAAAGATAAGAAAATTCGAGATCAAACCCAGACAAGAAAATCAACTTTATTATAAAGAAAACGACCAAATATGCAAAAATTTTATGTAATGGTATAAGGACATACCCATCATGAGAGAGTATACAACGAGGTAGTTGTTTTTGAAAGAATCGAAAGTGGAGGAGGTGTTAATACGATCTTTGCTTGTTTTGCTTAGCTCCAATGCTGCAACCAGGGATGCCAGGGCCCCGAATACCATCAAGTAAAATGCTTCCATTGTCTCTGTTCCCTTTTTCTTTTTTTTTCTTTTTCGTTTTCCTTGCAAAGGAGGATCTTAAGAAAAAAACAGAGGAAAAACAGAGAGCAACGATGGAGACAGAAATAAGCGAAAGTAACGTATAACTGTATAAGCTACAAGAAAAAAAAAGCTGCTTTAAAAGCGAGTTGGCATCAACCGAGGAATTGACATGTTCTATGAGGAGTTTGGTGGATGTGTGTATCCCCTGTTTGCATTCCTAAATCTTAAGGCAGAGGCAGATCCCCTTGTTTCGTGATTTTCCCGGGGAATTTGCCCTTCTTTTAGACTTTAAAAAAAAAGGTGAAAATTTAAAATTTAAATTGCTCGAGCCAAATTGACACCATGAATTTTGTGATAGATATGATTTAGAAATTCATAACGGATTTATAAATCAAATCAACCAAATAACTCTAAAAAGTCGATTTCTATATCTGTTCTGTTCTGTTTTGAAATTAAAAAACCAAATATCTTAGTTGGACCGTTTTTTCTTTTACGCATATTTTAATTTAATTTAAAAAACCAAACGTCTATCCCTGACGGAACAATAATTTAAGATTCGGTATCGAAGTCTGACATACTTAAGCCTCAAGCAATTGAAACTTAAGCAAGGTTGATCAATGAAAGAGTTGGTTCAAAGCCTCAAACAATTGAAATCAAGCTTGATATTTGACTTTAAAATAGAGGGAATCGAGCTTGAAACGACTTGAACTCAAACATGGTCTCATGGGAAATTAAACTCAAACTTGATTTCATTCAGTATGGGGACGATGCAGCTCTAACCACGTTTACAAAATTTTGCAATCAAAGAGACAACAAATGGAAAGCAACGTAAATTTGCATCTATTTTATTCACTCCAATACTACTCATCACCATCTTTATCCTCTTCCCCATCATCATCCGAACCTACGGTCAGACTTAATCTTAAATTTCCTAACATCCTCCAAAGCCGCATTTCTGAACAACCCAACATCAACGGCGCCAGAAACCATCCCATACCCACGCCTCCCGATCTCTTCCGGCGGATCATGCGGCATTGCGAAACTACCCAAGAAGGCTCCACCGTTTCTGGGGTCCGACTTAAGCACTCCTTTCTCCGTCGTCCCCAACGTCTCCCTAGCCTTCTTGTAACCGCGGTCCCACAAGTAAGCTAAGCTAGCGCTTAAATCGAACAGACCCATTGCGTACTTGGTTTTTGTTTAGGCGGTGAACTGATGAGGGAGGTTTTTAACTGCCAATGGGATTCTGTAGACCCCAACAAAAACCTAGCATTCCGCCCTTTTCTTGAAAATGGTACTCGCAAAATTTCCAGATCTGACACTCAACTATCCAAGTCCAACCCAACATACCCTATTAAAAATAGGAAATTTGGGACGATTTGACGCGTTATTATCCCAAAACCGCATAATCAAGCCACAGTAACTCCCACCTAGCTATTCTTAGAGGTGCCCGATCTTAAAATGAATGCGGCAAACTTGTTTTGTTAAATCAGTGTTGTGACCATCCATTTTTCAGTCGAAGAAACTGCACCGTTTACTTCCGTAAAGAAAGAGAAGTAATCAGCAGTTGTTAAAGGTTTTTTTTTCTGTTTTTTTTTTGGGGGGGGGGAGGTGTTTGAATGGTTGTTAAAAGGATGTGAAAAATACATATAGTACCTCTCGTATCTTCGTTCTTGTTGCATTCAATTCAATGCAGCATAAACCATTTTGTCAAGGTCCTCAAGCTCAAAACATTCTCACTGTTAGAAAAACAAGAAAAGAAAAGTCTTTACATTTTACGCCCTAAATTTTAACTTGTTTCTATAAAATTAGCTATAAATGATGTGATACGATGAATCAAAGAGCACTGAATAAAGCCACAAAAAACTTGATAACTAAACCAGATCCTGTTTTAGAATGATTAATCGATACCATCTCCAGTGAAAGATAAAGAATTAAAACCAAGTTGTGGAGATTATATCTTTAGAGCAGTTCTTGCCATCGCTAGAGCACCCTCATAAGTTTGATTTCCACCAAAAAACCCGCTTATGTGGGCAAAGACACAACCAGGAATTCCTGCCTCCTTCGAGAGTTTATCATCCCTCAGACCGGCTCTCAAATCTACCAGGAGATACTGCTGCCGCCTGAACTTGCCATCGTTTGCCCCTCTCATCCTGCACGATACATTGTCATAAGTACAATGAGAATCTATCTCAAACTCTGGAAAAAAGCAACAATGACTGCAACTTAGATGATCTGGAAACAGCAGTGAACAACATAAGATACAGGAGAAGAACGCATAACCCTTTGTCTGACAGAAGTATTCAATCTAGGCCTACACATTCTAGAGCATATTTGAAGGGAAGATAGGTCTAGATACATACCTCATAAAGAACATACTTAATAGGAGGCTCAACCTTCATCCCCTCCTCAAGCTCAAATAAATGAAGCTTCTACTGTTGGATGCAAAATGAAATCAGACTTATTTGTAAATAAACGATGTATAATGGTAAGTCAAGAATAAACCACAGTCAATTGTCAGAAATAGATTCATCTCACATCCTCCTGGAAATTGCACAGCATATTTGAGAAAATTTCAGACCAATTGAAGGACCAAAATGACGATATTTATATACAAGCAATTCTCTAACCCTAGATAGCCCATATGATGCAAACAGACAAAAAAGGACGTACCTTTACCGCTTGTGCAGCAATAGTGGAAGAAGAAAATTACAAGAAGAAAGAAAAATTAGAAACATCTACTTACTGGGCAAAACCTTTTCACAACCATAATATCACCACTAAGGTCTATATCATATCTCTCTGCAATGCATTCCGTCACAATTGAACTTGCTGGTAACCATGATTTTGCATGAAACCGGACACTCTGAAAATTGAAGGTGGTCGTGAATTATTAAAATATGAAGAATATAACACATACTTTTATCCCTTCTGCACAAAAAAATCCATATCCAGGACTCTAGAAACGAAGACCATGCTAAAAATTGTAAAATTTAAGCATATTTTTTAATTTTGACAGAACCTTACACCTAAGAACTACTAACAGCTAGAGCCATTGCTTGTTGGAAAGCCTCATTCTCCTTCGCAGGTGATTGATCAGGATCCATCCAGTACTCCAGTCTAAATTTAATCTTCCAACCCTAAAGGACAAGTGCATATTGTTCACATATCTTGGAGGCATGTCTGTATCAAACTGGTTGATTAAATTGTCAATCGCCTCAATTGCCTAGTAAAAGCAAAAAATAATATCCCAAACAAACATCTAAATCCATAACCACATAACTGAAGCATAGGAAAACAAAAACAAAGGAAAGAGCAGGAAGCCTATGATGTAAATCCTATCCATACCAGCCTGAACAAAACAAAGCTAGAAATTTTCATTGCTAACAAAACATAGAAAGTACAGAATTTATAATCTGTAAAACTCTTTCGAATCTGTTTCAGAAGGTTGTAGCTCTAGATGTTTGTTTAACCATATGATCCTAATTTACTTCCAAACCAGAACTCATGGAATTAAACCTCTTTAGAACTTAAGAATCAAAGATGAAAGTATCTCCACAAAGTTTTTTTAAATAGCCAGAAATAATCTATGCTCATCCGGGTGGTCTTTACCAAGTTGAAACTCTTTGGCTATTATCCCCTCGCCAAAATGTTAAATACAGGGAAAATTAGACTGATAATAAAGAAACAGCATAAACTACCAAAAAACATCACTGCTCAGATTATACTCTACCAAATTGTATGACAATCACCATACATAGAAACCAACAAGAAGAAAACTACGAGAAGGAATCTTTAATTGCCTCATGGAACAAATGAATACCTAATAAATAAGTTCTGCACTGCTAAGCTTTGTATTAAATCCATGTACAAAAACCTCCTCAAATCCTTTCTGGTTATGATGATACCGGTTATGACTAGGATCATACACGCCTCCCACATCAAACACAGCATCAAGCCCCTCCAATACCTGCAAACTCAGAACAATGTTACAAAGAACCTTCAAAGAGGAAGCATATAAAACCAAACGAGAACAAAATAAACTACAAGAATCCCATAATAAAGCACCGAATTCTACATTGCGATGAAAGTCTAACTCTTCCCCATTTGACTCTACATTTCAAGTTATGGAGTTTGTAGGCGAAACTAGTATAAAACTTGCAAACAAATAAACGAGCAAACTAACTTTGTAGAACGGCAAAAGAAGCACATATTTTAGACCCAAAATAAAAACCCATTTTATAATTTCCATTTCTTTTTACTTTGCTACAATTTTTGGGCAATCAAACTAAAAAATAAAATGACATTGGGGCTTGTGGTCTCGGGTACGGACAATCTCGGAGTTGGAAAACTTGTCAGTGAGACTAATCATGAAGCAGCCAAGCGCCCCATCGCAGTGGAAGCAGCCGTTGTGAGTGCCAACGCGTTTAGAAGGCGCTTGGTTGGGGGAGCCAGTGGAGTAAGCCGGAGAAGAAACCCTAATGATGTTGGATGTAGTCCTGAGAGGGTGCGAGAGGGTTTTGGGCAAATTTGAATAGTTTCGGGTTAAATTGAGAATCCAAATGATACATTATTAAATTATTCGAGTTTAGCACGATGATTGGTAATTTACGTAAGTTATGTCATGGTATTAATTTTTTTGTCGAGCCAAATATAATTCATTAAAATTTTTTCATTTATTAATGAAAATAAAATGTTAGATAAAATATAAGTAAAATAAAATTATAAAACATATAATTTGCAGAATTCAACAAAATACTTCATCCACAAATATAAATAATAAAATCTATTAAATAAAAATATTAAAATTTATCATCTTAATATTTATAAACCCACACATAAAAAGAGATTAGAAGACACAAAATTCTTAATTTATTTCTCATTCTCACAGTCTAATGATTCATTTATGTAATATACTTTGCCTTGTACTTGAATTTCTTTATCTAACAAATTCCTAAGTAATATGCATATTTAGATAATATTTACTCTCATTTTGATCATATCAAAGATATTTTAACTTTTTAAAACGCTATAAAATCTAATGTCAACTTTTTACTTTAATAGTTTATTTTTGTGAGTTTTTATCTAGTAATGTAATTTTTGTGAATTTTTTTATAAAAGTTAACATATCATATATTTGTATTCAAAATGAATTAAAAGAATTATAAATTTATTAATTAATCATTTAAATATTTCATAAATAATTTTATTTAATATAATTTTATTTTTATAAATTATCAACAAAATAATAGCAATAAGTATAATTTCAGTACAAGATTAAAAAAAAAAAAGAATACAATTCGTTTAAATTTATGTATTGTATTTTGTTAGTTCACATATCATTTAAGTTTATGTATCGTATAAGATTATGTATCATATCCTATTAATTCATATACTAAATATTGATATTGACTTCTAATATATCATATCATATCAATCTATGGGCTTAAACATTTTAATCCAACACAACACATTTATATGTATCTTATTTAGCCTAACCCAATTATTAAAAATTTGTTCTTACCAAGCACAATTACATCGTAAATTTGATAATTTATATATTTATTTGATGTAAAATATTAAAAATTCGTATATTAAACTTATGTTTTATATGAAATTATGTATCATAATTCGTATCAATACAAAAATATTTTTTTTTTATTTTTATCAAATTCATAAAATTTTTATTAAAATTTTAAATTGAATATTTTTGTGTCATTTTTTATAGTTATATAATATCATTATATTATATTACCAAATCATGAAACCGTGTATAAAGCCCGACCAAAACCCATTTACTAGAAAAAAACAGCACGGTACGTATATAAGGTGATCGGAAGCTTCAAAATGGATTTTGAATCTATATGTATATGGTGCATTTTGAATGCAATCTGTATGTATCATGCTTGGTTCACATTTATTTTTTTCTCTTGCAAACATGATAGCTGATCTGGTATACGTAAAATTAGATTTTACTGGTAAAGAACAGGATGGTCCATGTAAACAAGGGTTGTCTGCAATGAGTTGAAATCCTGGCTTTACTCATCCAGGGTTTGATGCAGTTTTAGTACTTCATTTTTATTGCTTGCGTGTCAGATTAAAATTTGACTTTATGGAAAATGTTGAACAAATGGAATTAGAATTTATATATAAAAAAAAAGAATTAGTCCAATTTTTTTTTTTTAATTTTTGAAGAAAAAATAGAGAAGATAACTATTCATATTCACCGATAAATAAATAATAAATAATAAAAGAAAAAACAATGGCATTCATTAGTCTTACAATGTGAAATAATAAATAATATAGGAATAAAGAAGAAAATAACTACACTGGTTTTGGTTGGTTATACCCAACAGCATTCAGCTCCCATACGACCCTCCAACAAATACTAACATTATATGATACAAAAGATTTTCTGGACAGAAGCCGGAACAAGAAAATCTAACCTTCTGCTTGACTACTTTCCATGATAAAAATAACTGACCTGGCTCTGAATATCAATTCATTCTCTTTACATCAAATGCACACTTATACATTATATATACAAGTAAAAACATCCTCATGTATCCATAATATTTGCTTATTTGTCATTGAAGTGGCTGAAATCTGCAAAGGAACGTATGGATACAAGGTCACAAGTAATACATACGTAAATTAAGAATGCTGCCTTCTATTGTTTCTAACGTTGTCGATGGCCCAAAAGCAGTTACCATGTCTGATAGGCATTAGGCAAAGCATGGTGGAACACAATTTTATCTACATGATTTACGTATTTTGCCCGATTATACCTGGGGAGTTCACTTTACAGTAGTTGAGATACAGCTTTCACGCATCCCCTTCCCTTCTAATCCCATTCTCTTCCGCACCAGACATGAAGCTTAGTTGTTGTTGCAACTGCATAATGATAATGAAATCATTAGAGCCAAGTGATAGCCTTTCCCTCTCCAGATGATGGGATTCTTTTCTTTTCTTTTCTTATCCTTATCCTTTTTTGAGTGATGGTATTTTTTATATTAGAGAGAGGATGAATCAAGTATCAAGCGAGGGGGGAAATGTTTAAACCTAAGTCAAGAACCAACATCAATCTTAATTTTGGAAAGCATCTTATTAGACACAACCATGAAATAAAGTAGAGGAACTTGCAAATGTAATTATATAAAACCCGTAAGAAACTCACTTGGTCGTATTTCAACTTTTCAGCAGTCAATTCATCAGTCAAATTCATCATTCTGCAAAAAGTGTTTAGGGAAGAGAATATCAGAAGAAACTTGTATTTATAGGTGAGAAAGGAAGGTAGAACTAATTGGTATGGGTTCATGACAACCAACCTGGATTGTAGCTCTGAGATCTTGCAGAGCAGTAGATGCTCCCTCTCAGATGCTGCTGTTTCAACCTATTGAAAAAGATCAGATAGGGGAAGAAAGAACAACCTACTAGAAATTAATCATCATAAAAAATAGAAAAAAAGTTCTCACATTTCCATTGCTCTCAGAACAACGAGGTAGAGGAGGCAACTTTCCATTTTGTGTGGCTGGAAAAACAAAAAAAAAATTAGAAATGGATTACTATACTGATAAGCAGTGTATTTCCTAATTTAATCATGTGAGTGTGATGTAATAGAAAGATCAATCTTTCACTGACCATCTACAACCTCAGTTGGCTGCAAGGTATTCAACAAATTCACAATAAGATCCTAGCATTCCAAAAAAAAATTCCAGTGAGAACATCATTAATTACAAGGCAAACAAACATTCTATCAGCAAAATGACTGTCCTGAGCCTAAGTCTTTACCTGTTGAAGTGAGGTTTGCTGGAAAAGATTCTGAAGATAAGTCATAAGAATTGATGTGGGCATGCTACCATTGGTTAAATCCTTAGGGAAATGATTAGTGGGCTGAAAAACAGGGGGAAAAGATCAACTATAAGCAAACAACTTATTTACATAGTGCAGCAGCATACCGAGCAGCTAAACATGTTCCATTACCAGATAAATCGAGCCACATATAAGATTAGATGAATTTATACTTATTTGTATGAAGTGTGGTTATGAAGTTGTTACACTTACACATGGATCTTATTACCCTTCTTTTATTTGTGTAAAATAACAAATGTTATCCTTTTTGCTACTATACAGCTCATTATAAACAAACAATCATAGAAAACAAAATCAGTTGAGTGAGGCAAGTCTTTTGTGTGCCTGTCAGAAGGCATGCGCGTCAATAAGGGTGCCTTGTGCCTCTGAAGGCTGTGAGGCACTTTCTCTGATTTGCACCACACCTTATTATCTGGGCACACACCTTAAAACCCATTCCTCCATTCATAAGAGATCCTTGAGCTTTAAGATGTAAGATGTTAAAATAAAATGAAACAGAACATAAATTCACAATCAACTATGTTGAGGAGAAGATGTAGTGCACGAACCACTTGTTTGGATCCAAATATCCAATCACCTACGCTAGCAGACTTTTTGAGAGGTGAAATCTGAAACTCAAGAAGAAAAAGAGCAACCAATAAGACGTGGACAATTACTATTGTTAATAGGACATTTAATCAAAGACCAATAACCCACCTGTGAAGATCGGCGTGAAACTGTACTTAAAGGAATATCCTAAAGAACATTATTTGGTTAGTAAAATTGCAAAAGAGAACAAATATAGCATTAAAATTGAGCCTTACCTTTACAAGATCTAAATTTTCTGATGTTACTGAAAATCGACCTTTTATTTGCACCAGATTAGTCTTTGACTTGTCATCCAGAGATTCCCTAAACCCTGTTAAAGGAAAAAAAGTGTGCTTCAAAATATATAAATCCTAGCAGCCACAATAGTAGCATTGGTGGTGATGCTGGTGACAAAAAAAAAAAAAAGAAAAACAACAAGGATTCTAAATGCCATGAGTTTGTTACCTCCTGATGATTTAATTGGAGCTGATAAACTGTTTGCAGATGCTCGATTAGGAAGCATCAATGGACCACTAAAGCTTGGTGCTTTACGAACTTGGCAAGCTCTCTCGTTCGCTTGTAAAACTTCATTCTCAAACCTAATCATTAGCAAGCCATTAGCTCAACATCTACAATTTTCTCTTCCATTTCTGATGACTTATAAATTATTTTCTTAAATTAAAATAGATAAGAGATTAATCGCACATGTAAGCACATGAGCTGTAAATCATTTTCTTAATTATCCTTCAATTTACCAACTATAACAAGATGAAAACAATAACACAAGAAGCTCTATTAAAAAGTATATAAATGTAACCAATCAGTAATAATCAAATGTTCTGTTGAATCGGCTCAAAGCACATTTGAATCAAGACTTGTGAGATTGTCACTTCTGTTCTGTTTTAGAGAGAGAGAGAGAGAGAGTAGCCCATAACAGCAGTATATTTTTATGACTTCATATGGCTTTTCCCTACCTCAAACAGTTAAACCATGTTAAATTAAAATAATGCAATAGCAAAGGCAAAACACATGAGAATAAATTAATTGGCGTATATTGTTCATCTATTCTCACAAGCATAAGAGGCAAGACCTACAAGTTAGGTAATTAAAATGATAACCATGGCCTAAAGCCATCATATAGTAAATTGAGTCCCCTTCTCATATGTTATAGGCTCTGTTAAACTACAATTAGAACCAAACGAGCTATACATATTTATGCATAAACATCATTAGGTAACAATTAGCTGGACAAAAAAAAGGTTGAGATCACTTTAAAAACCCAAAAAAAGAAGACAAATGAAATGGCCAAGCAAACATAACTATGAACTATGACCGACCTTTCTGAGTTACGAACCCGTTCTGAGGATGAATGTTTAAGAACAGCACGAGGTGTGAGTGGCCCACTTTGGGTTTGCCTAGGTTTCACTGTTTTAGCCCTGGTCAAGACCACATCTGTTTCTGAAGTTGATGCCATAACATCAATGCTTGATCCATTTTTCCTCAAACCCGTATCCTGGAAGCTAGCTTCAACTATATCACATTCCGGATTCTTTATCTTCCCATTCAAGCAATCAGACTGTAATAAGTCAACACTCCTTGATCCTCCAACTTCAGCCTGAGATACTTCCCTATTTAAATTCAACTTTCCCAAACTAGATTCACGGTAACCTGCAGCCTGTCAGCCAACACCAAGAACCAATTAACATGGTTTGCTATAAGGGACAAATAAGAAAGAAATACAATTCAAGTCGTATAAGTAAAAATGTAGTATTTTAACCATGTCCAGACACATATCACAAACCGCAGAGGCAAAAAATACAAGTGCTGACCTTATGGCCAAGGTTTGATTTCATGCTTTCATCATCACCTTTGCACTCATCGATATCATCATCATCATGCACCTTAGCATGTTAAAGTGCAAAATTAGTATAAAGTATAAACCGACATATCATAAACTGCAAAGGGAAAAAATACAGTTGCTGACCTTATGACCAAGGCTTGATTTCATGCTTTCATCATCATCTTTGCACTCATCAATATCATCATCATCATGCATCTTAGCATGTTAAAGGGAAAAATTAATATAAAGTATAAACTGAGTTATTGATATAACGAACAAAGAAATTACTTCTCATCCTATAAGTCTACATTAAAATCTTTATTATTAAAGGTTAAAACTAAAAATTGGCCTACCAGAGGTGCTTGCGCTTTGAAATCCTCAATATTAAAATTCCAGGCACTAACTCCTCTTTGATACTCACTCTGACAAGCACAAGAAAAGATAAAACTCTCAGCAGTAAGAAAACACAAATGTCCTAAAGTGAACAACCCAACAGCTAAAACTTTCCCAGATTTGTTAGTTGAACAAAAGCTAAATCTAATTTAAGATAAAAATGACTTCTGATTGATGATAAGTAACCTGTGATATAGCTTCTTGTTCTGCTAAAGGCATTTTCTTTTGAGCTAGTTGTGCAGCATCTTTAAGCTGTAAAATTTTGGACAAAAGGAAATACTTTGACAAATACTGTGGAAAAATGGAGAAAAACACTTGCATTGTGGCAGTGTGATCACTAACCTGTAGGGCTTTCACACGATTCCAAAGTGGTGGCAGATCAGCAAATAATTTCTTTACATAAAGCTCAGGAGGCTTTGCATGCTTGAAAAAGGAGTGCTTTAATAATTTCTCTGCAGTTGGCCTCTTTCTTTGATCTTTCACCAGGCACATTGCAACCATTTCTTTAAAAGACTGATCACAACTGGAAGTCCTTTAATTAGAAACTTGCTATACCAAGGGAGCAATTATAAAACACAATTAAATGCACCAATGGGTGTTCTATTTACATAATGACAAATAGCATGTCTGTCACCATGATGATGTAACCAGAAAGAATAGCAGTACCGTAGAGAACTTCTTATCACAATCATAATCAAGTCCTGGAGGAGCATTTTGTATGGTCATCAGGAGAACCTGTAATTGTTAGACAGAAAAGTTGTAAAACATAAATAAGAGTTGATTAAAACTCTCCTGTTATATAACCCTCATTGTGCAGCATTTATATAAATTCTTGTTATATTTTCAATGGGGACTTGATACCTTCATTGGAGGATATTTTGAAAAAGGAGCATGACCATGAGCCAACTCCAATGCTGTTATACCAAATGACCATATATCAGCCCTGTGCAAAAATGCAAGCAATTAATGAAATTACAAAATTAATGTGGAAAACAAAATGTACCATTTCTTTAAATGCAACAAGAGATACATCTTCTCTGTATGCACCCGAGCCAAATTCAACCCAACCCAAGCATAATGTCCATTAACTATATAAACTATAACCAGACTCCCATAGTACCATTTCAATATTTAAAATATAAATTGCAATGTACATGCAAAAGTGGCAACTTTGAGGTGCGTAGATACTTTAATAGAAAGCCATGATGTGTGGATAAAGTGAAATTTTGGGTTTTGGAACAAATGTATAGCTCAGACCAAAATCATGAGACGATTTAGGTTCAAACCCATGACCAATCCTTGCTACCCTGAAGCAGAAAATAATTGTGTACACTAAGATGTCATGCCTACTGAACTTTGGCTGATGACAATATGTATTTAAGCAAAACTCCAAGGCCTTAAATATTTTAAAGTCTTAAACTGATTGAAAACTGACTTGGAGTTATATCCACTGCCGGGCTGCAAGACCTCTGGTGCCATCCTGCAAAGCAAGGATAAATTGGAATCTCAAATCATGGAAATTCAAAAAGAAGAAATAAATTATATAAATGGCACCAGAGTGGGAGAGGAGATAAGGGAACGATAATTGTTTGACAGATTGACAAAGATAGCTCACCAGCAAGGAGTCCCAACAAAGGTAGAACGTTGTCTATCTCCTGCATCAAACATGCAAGCTGAAACACCGAAATCAGCAAGCTTTACTGTGCCATTACTGTCAAGCAGTATGTTTCCGGCCTGTAATGTCAATTAAAAAAAAACTCAAATAAAAGGAATGATAAATTCATTTGGATAAAATAATGTCAACTTCAATCTTGCACTGACCTTAACATCCCGGTGAATATGTCCTTGCCGATGAAGATAATCCAAAGCCTTAAGAGTTTCTTTCAGAATAGAACCAATAGCAGACTCTTCGAAACCAGCAGGATAAGCTATCTTCATGAGGTGCAAACAAGAACCCTCTGACATGAAAGGCATGACCACCCAAAGGTTATGACCAACTACAAACAAACAATATACCCGAATAATATTTGGGTGATCAATCAAACTCATTTTTTGAGCTTTCCGTCGTATGTCATCCTGCAAAGAGCATTACCAATCAAGAAAGCCACTCAAGAGTCAAGAGATCACAAAGAGGGGAGGTATCCACCAACATGAAGAGCAGAAAATATAGACCTAAACTACACCACTCATGATACTACCAGTTATAAAGCCCCTAAACGATTTCTCGAATAAAAGATTCTAACAGCCAAATAAATAGTGGTATGCATATATTGAGTGATTCTATTACTATCAAACATACAACTTGTTCAGTAGTATATGTAATGACACAAACAAGTACACCAGAAGTTTAGCATGCATGAACTGGAGCTAAGGCCTAGGAAGGTATCGAGAGTACTACTGTCTCCCTTGTTTAGGAAACATTTAACAGGACAGGATTTTAACCCCACCACTAGCAAGTAAAAACTTTTAAATTCTTTTACTATTCTTGGAATGGAATCCCCCGGGTCTCTCAATCCTTTCTCAAGTTGAGTTGCAAAAATTCCATATGAACAAAAGCATCTCCTTGGCATATCAAGTAGACAATAATTTAATTTTTGTAAGCACATACTCAAACTTACAGAAAATTTTTCAAAAAAAAAAAAAAAAAAGATCCCAAGGATCCAGTGGTGGCAGCATTACAAAGTATTCCGCAATGGCATATATCCAGCTTTAAGTAACCATGGAACGTTGATAGACTATCTTAAGTACACACAGTAGCAAAAGCAATCCAGCAGTAAAATGCCTCAGCTAAATTCATGGTATGGACGCTACCCAAAAGGAAAAAGAAAAAAGAAAAAAACTCCTATTTGAATGGTATAGTTCGAATAAGACTATTAAATAAGCTTATCTTACATTCTCAGAAATAATTAAAGATAGAAGATAAAAAGAATAACTTTTAACATTATACAATTTCAGAAGGAACAAACACGAAGTATTATCCGGAACTATACAAACAAACACATACACACGAAATAAAGCTTCAATCCAATCATCGTTCAAGACCTATAAACTCCAAATTTAAAAAAAATTACAATAATAAAAAGTAAGAATTTCATAAATCCATCCAACTCAACGAGAAACAATAATTGAAATCCACAATCAAGTCAATTTTAATCAAACGAAATATTTAAATCAAAATTAACTAAAATTAAATCAACTTACAGACCTATATTTGACTATAAACGGTCGAACAATTGAAAACTATAAATTAAATAAAGAGGAAAAGAAAAAAAGGAACCAGATTACTGTTGCAGCCACTAAGATCTAAACACTTGACAGCAACGACGTCGTTAAAAGGAAGATAGATCGCTCTATAAACAGTAGCACGGGCGCCATAATCAACCTCTTCAAGAAGCTTATAATCGCTAGGATTTGCTGAATAACTCCGACTTCCTCCCATTCTCCGCATACTCTAAAACCTTAAACCACCTTTGGAAAACCAAACCAATAACCTCAAAAAATTGTCGCACAAAGCCGCCAGCAGAGTAATTATAGTAAAATAGTCGTCTTGAAAACTAAAAGGCGGCCTTTTTTTTTTTGGTGAAGTGATTATTTGATCCGTTGACCGCCATAAGTTGCAATATAGAGGGGACTGGTTTGAGGAAAGAGAGAGAACCGGGATGACTGCTGACGTGGCTGTTTTCTGCTAGGTGATTAGGATTTTGACACGTGGATTGATGCTTTTGTGAATTGGTTGATCATTTTATTTTCCGCCCTTTTCCCATTTTTTGATTTATATTGGGTTTTTTCTCATTTAATTTAAGTTGGCTAATTTTAAGCAGACAAGAGTCTTGGCTTTATTATTTTATTCTCCAAGAATTTAGGAAACCATCAAATCAATCGTATTATTTTTTCTTACAAAAACTAATAAAAATTTATAAAGTATATAAAAAGGAATAATAAATAAATAAAAATTAAAGAATCTCCATTTAACTCAAATAATTTATTTATTTTAAAATATGAATTCTTACAAACCTTATTTCAATCTTCGGTGATTGTAATTTTTTTATCTTTAAATTTCGATATCTTTATATAAAAATAAATAAAGATTAAAGAGCTTTTCGGCTCTATAAAAAAATATGATAGCTTTGGGGTAACTCACATGCTTGTTGTTTTGATATATACAACTTTAAAATATTTAAGTATAAATTAAAAAGGATTAATTTTTATGTTCAAATTTTGAATAAACATAAAACATTTTACTTTCACTAAATTCACCAGTGTGTTAAAATATTTTATCTCATTACTCAAAAAAAAAAAAAGTATTTTCATAAGTTAGTGGTATCAATTTGCTCTTATATGACATCACTATTTTTTAATATTTATAAAACAGTCAAATTATACTGAGTGAAAAAAATTTTCTCACTAATGATGAAAAAAACAGAGTTTTCCTACAATAAAGATGGAAGTAATAACAATTTAAATATATATTTTTATATTTTATATTTTTCTCAATTCTTTGATAAATGTAAAAAATATATATTGAAAATTAGATAAATGTCATGTGCTTCGCTACAACATAAAAGAAGCATAATCAATAATAAAAATGTAATGTCATTGTATTTAAAAATTTATAATGCTATTAATTTTAAGAAAATAATCACGTATAGAAGGAATAAATAAAAATATTGAATCACGATATTTTAAATATTTGAACATTTAAATCAGTAAATTACAATGATAATAAAATAATATCAATCAATTTTATTTTTAAATTACAAAAAATAAATAAAGATTTATGTTATGTTATTATAACCTTTTTCTTTCACCTAATATCTTGTTGCAATTTTCTTTTAAGTCTTTTCACGAAAATAAGTGGCACTTGACTGCTAGCAAATTCAACCATAACTATAAAAGTTATTGCATTAAATTCATTTGATAAAATGAATACATAAAACATATATTAAAGAAATTAGTAACTACGAAAATAAACAATCATTTCTTAATTAATTTTTTCACACCAAAGCTAGAATCCAAATCTATGATTAAAATAAATATATTTAGAAAGGAAAAATATAATTCCTTTTCTCTTTCTATTATGCATATAATAAAACAACTTTGAAACTAACATAAATATGCACACACTTGTAAGCATTTATAACCATTAAAAACCCAAGAAACAATAATTGTTTGACTCCCTTAGCTTACATTATCAACCCCTGCAAGAACTTAAGAAAAATAATAAAATAATAATATTTTTTAATTATATTACTTCCAAATTTCAAAAGCCTAATTAGGCATGTAATAAGACTCATTTCAAGAATTTTAAAATAAGCAATGAGACTCAAAAATCTAAAATGCATGCTTAATAAACTCAAAATCTAAACAACTTGGTCATAAAATTTCTCATTAGTTAAACTATTACAAATGTCAAAATTATTGGTAAAGAATGTCCATGAATCTTCTATCATTTCCTTTTTTGCATAATAGATATATATACATATTTTGAAACTTTTTAGTAATGCACTTAATAAAGACTATAAAGACTTAAAATAAAGTGATAGCAAAGTTGTAAAAATATAAAGATTTAAATCAAGTCATAAATAACCCATTTAGTTTTATGGATGATACCTTTTATCTAAAAAAAACATCTTAAAACTAAAATTCACATTACCTAAAATATAATTTTGAACTTGCATTGAGAGCACCTGTAAAGAAACACATACGTTTAAGAATTTAGATGAAAAATATTTTCAAACCTTAGTTACAATAATTTATTTTTAAGAAAAAAAATACATAAAATTTTGAATAAAAAGTAAGTAAAAGATACAAAAAATGTGAAATATAACTTTAAAAAAATGCATCAAACTCAACTCGACCAACAAAACTTCTTTTCTTATGGCTATAATTAAAAACACATAATAATAACGACTTATTTTAAATTCTTCCGGTCAAATATATTGGGATAGAACCATTAAAAAAAATGGGGTTGGAGCAAAGGGGTGGAGGAAGAAGTATAAAGATTAATACAACAAAATCAAAAGATAAATGACTTTAGTCTAACAATTAAAAAAACAATTTTTTTTTTTACATTTTATTGAAAGCTAGTTTTCATGGAATTTTAAAATGTTCAATATTATTACTTTAAATTCATAAATTCATTCAATATAAAATTACATTTCTTATTGGTTATCGTTATTTTATATATTTTTAAGTGTACTTTCAAGGAAAATTATTACAATTAGTGAAATATAGTGAGAAACCAAAAAATTGAAAAACCTTGAAGAACAAATTAATATATTTTCAATCATCATGTAAATAACATATATATATATATATATATATATATTGAAATCATGGATTCATGAAGATCAATAGAAATACCTGAATCAAAGTTGTGAAGATCGTGAAATCTAAATTCAGATAAATATGAACTTAAAAACCCCAAAAAGATAACAAGAAAAAAGAAAAGAAATTTAAAATTTAAAACAAATAACTGAAAGTTAAAAGGGGAGGAAGAAAGGGATAGATAGGAGTAGAGCAAAGAAGATGAAAAAGGGCTTGTCCTTGCTCGATGATGTTCTCTCAATTTTTGCCCTAAATTCAATTGTCTTTTCTTCTATTTCTAATGAAAAAGGGTTTCTTTACCGCTAAAACTCTTTTGAATAATGAAACATCCTATAGTTAGTATACTCTTTATTGATTTAAAAAAAATAAAAATTTAAAGAAAAAAGAAAAAAATAAAAAAAATAAAATGGAGGATATAAAGTATCAAAGATAGTATAATAAATTCTAAAATATTAATATCTAAAAAATCCATATTTATTTATAAAAAAATCCAATAAAATAAATAAAAAAAAAAGTCTATGAATCAAAATTAAATTTTTAAGTGCAATATAATAACTACGAGAGTAAAGATGAAAAATTATGAATAATAAAAAATTGAAGAATCACCTAGCCACGGACGAAAAGAAAGAAAAAAACAAAGTAAAATATATTAACAGAGGTCGTAGAGTAGGAATTAACTTTTAAAATCATTTACATAATATTTCTAAGATTTAGATAAGATCAAGCTTATATTTTTTTCTTTTGCGCACTTGTTTTTTATTTTTGAATAGACGTTTAACATCTTTTCAACATCCCATGAACTTTATCTTTAGTGTGTGAAAATACAAAAAGATCATTGCCAAAGTAAAAATTGTCTTTTATATCCTAAAAGGGACAGGTGTTGCATTAGTAAAGGGCTGTAAATAAAATTATACAAGGAAAAGGACAAAACTTCCTCATGCATTAATATGTATAATTAGGGCCTAAGTTTAATAAGGGCAAAGGTTCACAGTTATAGGGAGGTATCATGAATGACTGAATATTAAGGAAAGTTTAGACAACTTTTTTATATAAATAAATTAGGTCAAACTTTAGGTTATACTTTACATACATATTATTTGGGGGCCAGAAACTAGTTACCAACTTTACTTGGCTAGTTATTATTTGCTAATATGAAAATTAAATTGGTTTCAATTAAAGTGAGTTATTATTAATATTATACATATAAAATCAACCGATTGCATGAAAATGTTATCTCTCAACAAGGTTTAAAAACCCAAGGAAGAAAAAAGTGACTAAAAACTATGAAATGGGCTAAAAAAGTGGAGTAGATCATTGCAAGTTTAGGAAGAATCACGTGAACAAAAGCAGTTCAGTTTCTTGGGTTGATTTTTGGACGAGTTATAGTGGACTCAATCCTGCTCTACTATTTTGCCAATTGCAAATGCATCTAGTTTCATTATTTCAGAAAGTAGGAAAATCTGAATTTCCCATGTTTGAATTATATCCCTAATCAGGTCATATAGTGCAAAATCTTTTAGCCGAGATGAGTTTATCAAGGCAATCTTTAAAGGAAGGGACAAATTTAGAATAAGGAACAAATTGGGTTACAAATTAATAATTAACAAATTTAGAATAAGAAACCGCAAAATTTTCCCAAAAAATAAAAATGCGTATTTAGTTTTTTCACCGTCGTAGCATATTCATACGACTTTAGAGACTAAGTATCCAACCTCAAAGCACATGACCCAAGTGCCCACATCAAAGGCCCACCTCACTCCGTCTGCCTCCATATCCATCTCCATCTTCTGGCCCCCTCCTCCACAATCTCCATCACACCTTCCTTCCAATTCTCCACCATCCGATTCCCCACAACTGCAACAACATCCACCGTCCGCTTCACTCTCCTCCGGAATCTCCTCCAACTCATCAAAACCCACCCTCCTATTCTTCCTTACTACCATCTCCACCCTCTCTCCCATCGCCACGTCTCCCTCCGCCGCCACGCAAACATCCGCCACTGCTCGTTCATCGACAACCGTTCACCATCCCCTCTCTCCAGCGCGCACTTGCACTCCATTTAACCGGACCCCATCCCCGGCCCGAACCCGCTCCCTGCTCCCATATATCGCCTCTCCATTTCTCGTGTTCACTTTAACCATCCGATGTGGAGTCACGAACGCGGGGAAATCGGGCCGGACATTAGACCCGGAAACTTCAAGCGCCGTTTCGTTGATTCTTGGTGGGTAGAGTAAAGTGAGCGAATCGGATAATACCAATTAAACGAAATAAATTAATGTTGTCATATATTTCAGCAGGGTATATCTAAGAATACTAATTAATTAATTCTAATTCTATGCACTCTCCTTGTGAATTTATTAAAAAAATAATAGTTAAGAGACATATTTAAATGTAAAATATAAAATATAAAATAATTACACATAAAAATTTTAAAAAAAAAAGTAGATGTGAGTTTTAAAAGTGAGTTCTCAATTTAATTTGAAGGAAAAATAAATTAATATTATTATAATTTTATTAAATATATTTTATTTTATTTCATATTAAAATTAAAATTTTATCATTTTATTACTAAATCTAATGAGATTCAAATTGTATCTCATTTTCAGTATAGTGCATTTTCAATGTAATGCAATTAAGTTTATTATATTATTAGTTAAATTTAAATATTAGTTTTAATAAAATTTATTTAATAAAATTTTTTTATAATCATAATAATAATAATAATAATTATTATTATTATTTTAATATCATTAAAATCATTCTCATCTAAACTCTTAGCCGATGTGATTTGATTTTGCGTTCGGGCCAAGAAGGGCCATTCACATCTGATAGTTTTGGCTGCTTATTGCAACTTGATTGATGTGTGAAACTGAAGGCAAATATTCATGCGGATTGTTGACTTGACTATGACGATTCTTAATGGTGTTTAGGTTTCTCAGTTTGGGATGAGCTTATAAAGGATAAGTGCGAAAGGGCTTAGACTTTACGCTTAGGAAATATACGTATTTGCATGTATTGCTTTCATTTTATTTCAATTAGATCATATCAATGTTTTAGTATTTTCCATACGATAAAAATTATATTAAAAAAAGTCAATATTAAAGATAATTGTATGCATTAGAATTGTCTATTTGCAATATTCAAAGTGTAAATGATTAGGTACTAGACAATCATGATCATCACGTAATTGACCAAGTTTCCTAAATTCACTTTCTTTTTCAAGAGTGGTATATATCATAACATTATAAGAAGAAAACTTCAAAATCATTACAAAATTGTCTTGTTTTCTTGCAGAGAATTTGATGCCATTATATTAAATAATTAATGGTGAATTTAGTGATGCCATGGTATAAAATTTCAAACCATGTTTGTGGCAAAAGAAAATTAGTGGCTTGATATGACAACTTGGGGGGAAATTTTGGGCTCTGATTGTAACACTTGTACAACCATTTGCAATCAAAGAATCATAGTAGTAACAAATTTGTGGGGCAGATAAACAAAACAGCTGCCTTCCAAACGTGTTTCATAATTTCACAGCCGCATAAGCAATCATAATTGCCAATATGAGTTTCTTTTTCTTTCATAAGATAAATAAATTTTGTGATAATTTTATCCATAGTTGTTAAATTTAATCTACACATTACTGTTATTATTATATGAACAATATTGAATGAAGTGTCCTTTTAGCATAGAATCGAGAAGCAACTCACATCACACTACCAGATAGGTTTCCAAATTAATTGGACATGCATTTGCTGCAACTATGTTGTAAAATTTGCAAGATTTTATTTTCATTTTTGGAAACAGAATTTAGCACCTTGGACCAAGTTGTCGAGATGCTAACAGGAAAGCATGGAAAAGATTTTTCTAAGGTAGTGGAGTAGGATTCGTTTACTTTTACACGGCTTTTTGAATAGAAATGTTGTCGCATATCTTCCCGTTAGAAAATAAAAAGAAATTGTTAAAGCACAAATTTAAAAGAATTTATATTTAATAAATTTGATGTATATATATTACATATTGTCAGTGAAATATATAATATCTCATAAAAATTAATTTTAAATATATTTTAAGATTAAGTGTGTTTGTCTTTTAGAATTTTAAAATCTTAAAATTTTTTTTTTTTATGAAATGTTATTTTATTTGTAATTTATTAGTAGTATATAAATTTAAATACAGGGCATCAAATAAAAATTTAATTTAAAAGGAATATTTTTTTTAGGACAAACAACTTTTAATTTTTTATGCTTCCTATCTGCAATGCTATATTCATTTTCAGCTCTAACTTTTCTATTTTTCTATCACGATCAATGGTCGAGAAAACAGATCCTCAATGCACATGAAATTATCGCTAACATTGCATGACCAACTTAAAGCATATATATGGTGGGACATATAGACTTTGAACATTTTCTTCATATATACTTCATACGTGTATATCATCCCTGAATAAATTTTTAACACGAAACCGTTTTGCGGATGCATGAAATTTTTTTTTTTTTTGAGATTTTATAACATTTTAGTTTTATTTATTTTGTGCAGGACGACTGATATCATTAGCTAAAATCCATTAAAGATGAGGAGCCTGAAATTCGGATATGTATCGGGAAATTTTTGCCTCAAATTATAGTTTACTTTCGCCCAGAATCTTTCAAGAACGGATGGGATTTTAACTTTTTAAGGCATTCAAAAATCAATGGTGGGAGTTCATATCTCGTATTTTCACAGCAGTGCAGGTTCTGAGACCACAGTTTGGGCGGTGGCTGGTGCGTGTGGTGAGCTTAAGACCATTACTTTTCAAAGAACCTACTTCCATCACAACATATACTTCCCTAATTCGTTGTCTTTTTCTCTGTCTCTCTCTTTATTGCTTGGAAGTGGGAAAGGAAAGAGAATAAGAAAGTCCAAAAAAGTGTAGTTCAAAACTCCCAAAGATAATAATATAATAAAGAATCAGTTGAATGAAAGGAACAGAAGAAATAAATGATAGTAACACTGAATCATTTGTCTTTCATGAATGATAACTGACTAAAACACTTCTCGGTTCTTAAATTCTAACCTGAGTCCTACAACAATATATAGAAGGTAGAAATTGTATGTCCTTGATTTACTGGAATTTGTTAGGTATAAAGTTTAAATTTATATTTTTTTTATTTTCAAACTTTTTTTATATATAAAAAAAAGAAAATATTGTCAATGTGTACTTTTATCCGTAGGTTGTTGATTGTGATTATTTACCCAACTCACTGTCATAAATGATTGTGAGAGGACATGTAAGAAAAAAAATGAACTGATAAGCAGGAAAACTCTTGAAGACATAAATGCTAAGGTTAGAATGTTGCAGAAGCAGTTAATATAACAGGGAAGCGAAACAGAGTCAACAACATTAAGATAAGGAGCGTTGTAAAGCACAAGAAATGTCAGTATTTTACATGCCCCAAGAAAAAATCCCATCCCAAATTCTATCCTATGGCTTGTTACAGTAACGCAAATCAACGGAGGTTGAATGTGGATATTACAAGTAAGAAAGAGAACTAACTCCACTGACTTTTATGACCTCGATATGAACATAATTTCTATCATTTTCTGTACCATTGGCTGGCTGACCCACATAGCCACGACTCAACAATTGCCCCTAGATCATGTTTAAACAACACTCGGGAGAAAAGAATCTCCCCCATTAACAAATACTATCATGACCAACTCAATGGCCTAGAAAAAAAGAGAGGCGAGGTCAATGATAAGGTCATCGAATCAGGCCAATGCTCTTGAAGTAAGCGGTCAAAAGTTACGACTTACGAGCTTTATAAATATTATAATATAGTGCCTATACTTTCATAGAACATACCAAGCATTTTATTACACGTTCATTTCCTCCTATTGTTTGAGAAATCATTTCTGTTTTTGTCACTTCGGCAAGTGAATGAAATTAAGTAGATCTGAACAAGATATTTACACTGTTAGGTGGGATTTTTGGGTGGTGCAAAGATTTATATATGAATGCTAGGTATAGGCTGGGGAAAAGATTGAGGGAAACAACCTTTTATTATCTCATAATTTGAGGATCTTTTCTAAGCTGCTTGCTATTATCTGAAGGAGGCAACAATGGGCACGGAAGAAGTGAATGATAAGAAAGAGAACCAGAGAGAGAACTTGGAAGAACTAAATGAAGAAACTGAGGGTTCAAGGACAATACAACCATGGACAAAGCAAATTACTCTCAGGGGAGTCATTGTTAGCATTCTGATTGGGAGCATTTACAGTGTGATAGCCATGAAGCTAAACCTCACAACTGGTTTGGTTCCCAACCTTAATGTCTCTGCTGCTCTTCTTGCCTTTGTTTTTATCCGGACATGGACAAAAGTAGTTCAAAAGGCTGGATTTATATCCAAACCTTTTACAAGACAAGAGAACACCATGATACAAACATGTGCAGTTGCGTGTTACAGCATAGCTGTTGGAGGTTAGAGGTTTCAAGCATAAGCATCATTTGGCGTTTATTTGTTTAATTAATTTCCAACTTCGTTTCAGTTCTCTCATAACATCACTTTTTTAATGATCTGGACTGCAGGTGGATTTGCTTCCTATCTTTTGGGATTAAACAGGAAGACTTACGAATTGTCTGGAGTAGACACTGAAGGGAATTCGGCATACGCTGTAAAAGAACCAGGATTTGGTTGGATGACTGGCTTCCTTTTTGTTGTTTGCTTTGTTGGTCTTTTTGTCTTAATTCCTATCAGAAAGGTAAGCTTTTCTTAGTAAAATGACCAACAGCTTTAACTTGTGAAAACTTGAAGATCACTTGTACTAAATTATGTCATGAAGGGTGAAAGATAATTATTATTGTTATTTTGGGTGTGTCTGATGTTTATTTTAATGTTTCCCCTGCCAAAGGAAAACATTTTTTTCTGTATCGAGCTTGCAAAAGTGGGGTTTTGGACCTTGTAGGATAGAAGTTCACTACATGGAAAAAGAGGGAAAGAATCACTATAGTAAAGACAGGAGCATGTCAGAACATCCTTTTGATTTTTTAAAAAATTATTTTTTGGAGAAAGTTCAAAAAGTTTTCATGGAATTCTTCTTCTGCACAGGTCATGATAGTGGACCTCAAGTTGACTTACCCAAGTGGCTTGGCAACTGCAGTTCTCATCAATGGTTTCCATAGCCAAGGGGATAAGTCGGCCAAGTAAGCATTCAGAGTTAAAGTTTCTTTGTTGGTTGCTATATACCTATTCAGAAAGCATGTAAGAATCAACCAGAAGTAGAAGTTATGACATATGATAATGAATATGGTCATCAGTATTGCAGGAAACAGGTGCACGGATTCCTGAAGTATTTTTCAGCCAGTTTCCTGTGGGGGTTTTTCCAATGGTTTTTCTCTGGGAAAGATGGATGTGGTTTCAAAGAGTTTCCTACCTTCGGACTCCTAGCCTGGAAGCAAACGTACGTTATTGTCTTATCGTTCCTTCCTTATTTTGATTGTTGTTTCTATGACTCATCATTTCTTGGTTTCTTGTTGAATATGTGGTTTTTTGCAGATTCTTCTTCGATTTTAGCCTAACCTACGTCGGAGCAGGAATGATCTGTTCCCACCTGGTTAACTTATCTTTGCTTTTTGGAGCCGTGCTCTCATATGGACTAATGTGGCCACTTATTAATCGGCTTAAAGGAGATTGGTTTTCTGAGGATTTACAGGAAAGCAGCATGAAGAGTTTATACGGCTACAAGGTCTCTCATTTTCTTTCTGTCTTCCGAAACCAGAGTAGTCCTGGAACCAGTTCTTTAATAATTTGGAAATTCGATAAGAATGTTTACAGAACAATGTTTATAACCTATAATTTCCCGGTTGTCAGGTTTTTGTATCTGTTGCTATCATTCTTGGTGATGGCCTCTACAATTTCCTCAAGATATTGTGTTTCACGCTTATTAATATCCATGGCAGATTGAAGAACAAAAACCGAAATACAGGTAACCGAGCAGCATTCTCAACTTTCAGTCTTCAGGGCGGAAAAGTTTGAGTTCATTAATGCTCTATATCATCTAATGAACTTTTGACAGTGACTAACCAGAATATATTGTCCTTCCTTGTAGTTGACGAGGATGACCAGAAGAACAGAGCTGAGGATTTAAAACAAAACGAAGTTTTCCTCAGAGAAACCATCCCAATGTGGATAGGCATTGTTGGATATGTAATATTATCGATCATGTCAATTGTTGTGATCCCCATCATGTTTCCTCAGCTCAAATGGTACTATGTGGTTGTAGCTTACATTCTTGCTCCATCTCTGGCATTCTGCAATGCATATGGGGCTGGTCTCACGGACATGAACATGGCCTATAACTATGGGAAAGTCGCACTATTTGTGTTAGCCGCATTGACGGGAAAGGAAAACGGTGTGGTCGCAGGGCTTGCCGGATGTGGTCTCGTCAAATCTGTTGTTTCTCTTGCTTGCATTCTAATGCAAGATTTCAAGACAGCGCATTACACTCTCACCTCTCCCAGAGCAATGTTCTTGAGCCAGGCAATTGGGACGGCTATTGGCTGCGTTACAGCGCCTCTTAGCTTCTTTCTATTCTACAAGGCATTTGATGTTGGAAATCCGTATGGAGAATTCAAGGCTCCTTATGCCTTAATATACAGAAACATGGCAATTCTCGGTGTACAAGGCTTCTCGGCACTGCCTCAGCATTGTTTGCAACTCTGTTATGGCTTCTTTGCTTTTGCAGCGGCAGTGAATTTGGTGAGAGATTTCTCACCGCGTAAGATAGGGAAATGGATGCCACTTCCAATGGCCATGGCAGTGCCATTTCTAGTTGGGGCCTATTTTGCAATTGACATGTGCTTGGGGACTTTGATTGTGTTTGTTTGGCAAAAGCTCAATACAAAGAAGGCTGACTTGATGGTTCCAGCCGTTGCTTCTGGACTAATATGCGGAGAAGGACTATGGATTCTCCCTGCTTCAATTCTGGCCTTCGCTAAAATTAATCCTCCCATTTGCATGAAATTCCTGCCTTCTTAGAGAAGGGAAATCGTGATAAGATGCTCAAGGAAGAAGATGATCGCAGCAATTGTGACAGTGGTAGATGACTAGATATAACACCACTTTTTTGAAAATAAAGACTGCAACAAATGTGAAGATAGAATAGTAACGAGCAGACATTCAAGACGTTGCCCTCAACTTTCCATTGCTTTGGCTCTGTTATTGAAGGAACAACCTCCAACTTTACATTTAGCATTTTCCAAGGAGATTATATTGAAGGAAAATAAATAAGATTTAAGCTGAGATGCCAAATGAATAATTCGACAGAATAACTAGCTTAACCTTACAGTATTCCAAAAATTGTGATAATATACAGGAGTCAAATTAGATCCAACCAAATTTGAAGACAGATGCAAACAAACTCAACAAAAAATGCAAGCTCAACATATCAGAAATAATTAGGCCGTAATGATACCTGCTAGAACATCAGTCTTACCTCGTGCATAAATTGTGTAAACTAAGCGAATAGCGTCAAGCCACCCATCTAGGGATTCCCACGAATCAGCAACCTGAATGGAGGAGCAGACAATACTCACTAAACCCGGATTGCCTTGTATATAATGATACATATATTGCCAAAATAGAATCCAAAGGACAAACATGGGCATTATTGTAATAATTCTCAGGTTTGCCATCAATATGAAAGACATCGTTCCTTTGTTAAGATTTATGAGGAATTTTTTGATGAAAATATAAATCATGATACTAACCAAGAAAACTGGACCGTGGGCAGTATCAATGCAGAGGCCTGCACCTGGTGGTAAAGTCAGATCAGCGCATGCTGATACAGAAACAATATCTGGAATATCTACTCTGATAGCCCTTTTGATGATATTTGCTACATCTGCGGTTCTGCCAGAGAGGCTTCGGAAAACTTGTTTCTGCTCGACTCTGATGACCTGCTCAATTGGAAAATCAAACAGGACATAGAGAAAAAGAAAATGAAAGTCTGAACAGAAGTGGTCTTTGATTAGTCTCGGATTAGAGTGACTGCCAAAGCAATACATACAGGGATACACTTACCTAGACCAGGAGCCTAAACTAGAGATAAACCCTATTCCTACCTCTCTCTCTCTCTCTCACACACACACACACGCCTTTTATTAGATAACATCCTGGAATCTAAAATGGAAGTGACTTACAACAAAAGTATATTTTCTCATAATCTAGGATTCATTCCAACTTCCCAAGGAACTTACAATAACATAAGTTAAGACATTAAATATCAAATTTTGTTTGAATAAATGAATCCCCATTCTCAGGCAAAAATGACAATGACACTTGATATTTATTACCATGGACAACTGAAAAAATGGTTTTTTACCTGTTGAAGCGCTTCATGATTCAAAAAGAACTCTGCCCTTTTCCAATCACTATGGGGTGCAATTGTGTTTCCTACTGGTGGTGCAGTCAAATATCCATATTTAAGATGGGGTAAAGGTAGCTGTCAAAATTTTATTTCTGTCAGAGTTATAATAGAAAATAATTTGCCCAGCTAATTCAATAGAGTACAAACAGAGGGGTGACTGTCACAATCATTTGCTCTGTAACCACTCAATAATTCTGTTCACCAGGTGAGTTGCCTGGTTTAAACATGAAATGAATAAATGAGAAAAACCATCTTCCCTAGCACACAAACATACTCAGAAAAGGATAGGGAGAAAGAATAGCAATGCAGTTACTTGCCATTGCATTTTTTAAATATTATATTTCTCATTATTTGAACACAAGATCACTATTCCAAGGAGATGTCGCTAGGCTATATATTAACTAAAGATTTTCACAGTTGTGTCATTGCTTATAGTTTGAGGAAAAAGAAATGAACATTGCTGGGGGTTTGGATTGGTTGAATAGGTTCACATCCAAGCCTAAGGAATACTGTTTGAGAAAACATTGGATTAGTAATGTAGTTCTCTATAACCCAAACGGATATTTTTCATCAATACAACAGTTTCTGGTGCAGCTCAAAAGCTCAGTTATCATGCACTGATAAGTGACAGTTGAAAACACCACTGATGCACTAACATGAAAGAAATGTGGAATTCATGGGTTACACCTAAAAATATTCCTCCTGTCATATAAAAAATCCAAGAAATGCTAATAGACCAGGAAAGAGATCAGGAGATCATTCTCAAAGCTAATAGACTAAATATTGCTTACTGAAGATTCAATCAATTTATTAAAGAATAAACCTCAAAAATATTGTTGAAAGACTAAATACTGACCATTGAACGAACAAGCCTCAAGGCACTGCTGTAAACCTGTATGTTTTAAAACATCAAATAAGAACATATCCACAACTAAGATGGGAAGTCAAATTGCACAACTCTGAACCTTTAAATTAGGGAGAAAAGTGAAGAAGTATATCATTAGCTTTCTTGTAAATTTTATGTTTACAAAAAGTCAAATTTATGCTGTAAAATTTCATTAGCCAATGATTATGCCAACTATATAGCCTGAAAGTGAGAGGTCATCTAGTAAGTAAACCTCTCAAGTCCAAAAAACACAATGATTTCTTACCGAGTAATTTGGTTTCAATGCATGAGCAGCTGCAATATAGATAGCAGACTGGCTATAAAGCTCATTTGGAGAAACTTCTTTTGGATTTGCTGAGCCTCCTGTTCTTAAGTTATCCTCAGCTAGTCCATACTGTAATTAAAAATATAGATATTTCAAGCTTTAAATTTATACTTCACTTAGCTAGAATGAGTGTTCAGATAATGAAGTCATTATCTAATCTCATTAATATCACAAGAAATGAATCATAGTTGAGAACAGGATCATGCCATCAGTATAAGAACAAGTAATAACAAACAAACTTACCAAAACAGTTCCAAGGTTGTATATTGCTCGATGGAAATCAAATTGCAATTGTATTGCTGCACGAAACTGCATTAGAAGTAATTAATATTGCAAGAACAGAAAATGCAACTAGAAGTTATTCTTTTAGGACATATCAGATGTCAAATTACTTTGCTGATTGTTCCTATTGTCATCCAAGCACTTCGATTTCTGCAAATGATTTTTGTACCTTACTAATTGCGGTCCTCACAATTTTTTGCTTCTCTCGTGCTGGAACAATCACACTGAGTTCCTAAAGAGTACATGATAAGCCATGAAGGTGAACAAAGCATTCTAGGAAAAGATATGGAGATAAATGAAGATGATTATAATATCAACACCACTAAGACATAGTTTACCTGAAGAGCAAGTCCCCAATTGTTTAATGCCTGAAAGAGATTTAAGAATCGTTAAAATCACTAACAGGTATAATAAAAATGAAAAGATGGAGGCATTCTATTTAGCAGAATTATAAGATTAACCAAACAATTACTTCAAATATACCTGGGGGCTGTTCCAGTTGAGTTGGACAGCTTTTTCATAGTTTTTTGTTGCCTGAAAAACCATAAGATTAGGCTATATTAAACCAAAGGTCAAGGTTTTTATTCACTATGAAAAGGCACTTCTAAGAAAAGTCCAAGGATTTCTACACAGAATTATTGCAAAGACAATGTGTTTCTGTACTATATACCAAAATTTTACAATAAAAAACCGACTTCCATAGTTCTTTGGCTTTGTAAAAATGGATAATATAACAGCATGCAGTTGACATGAAGGAGAAAGAGGAAACAATCTTATCCACAAACAGCAAAGGTTTTCCACGACAAGAGAATGAGATTTTCCGACAAAGGGCTAGTGTTACTTATACAAAATTCTAGCATGACTGAAATAACAAAATTATATACTCAGAACCTGCTCCCATAGTTCTTCAGCCTCCTTTGTCCGACCACGCATTTTTGCTCGATCAGATATTGCTATTGCCCAGTTGTAGAAAGCCTGTCAAGGGATGACATTGCATCAAATTCATGTGAATGTATATCACGAAAAATATATATTATACAAAATCATTTCTATGTGTGAATATATATGCACTTATACTATAAACTCATTTCTGTTGTGCGGTCAGTTTCTTATCTGGCGTCTGCATTCTGAGCAGTCATCATGCCTTTTGTAATTGAAACAGAACTTAAGATCACAAGTTCGTAGTAATACAACAGGATCATCAAGGACATGGACAAGCATACGTACATCATGAAGTGTTGGGCAAAGATGTGTTGCCTCATCATACTTTTTACAAGCCTCCTCTAGCAAGGCATCTTTAGAAGGTGAAGTACAATCTGGACTAACATTATCTGCACTCTCCTGCAAGCCAAATAAGAACAGTGCAGACATGATATGAGCAATCTCATACATTTTAAAACGATTACAATATGCAGGCCTCCCTAGCCAAATAAGAATATGAGGACATGATATAAAATTCTAAATGATATTAACATAATAATCACAATAAATCATAATCTTAAACCTGAAGAACCAATGCCCAGTTGTAGAGAGCATCATAATCTTCTGGATTTCTCTCTAGAGCAGTAGCATACCTACAAAATTTGTCTGGAAATCACTACTGTGGAATAGCAGGATTCTGAAACATCAATATATTGAGCTCAATATGAAGTAAAGCACAAAAAAATGTATCAGTACCTCCTGGCAGCATATACAAGAATCCGTTGGCGAGACCTGCCCTCCTCATCAGCACCTGTGACACTATTGATCAACTCCATGGCTGCATTGTTTTGGTAGGATTCTTGTTGAGTGCTTTCTTGACTGGAACATATAAATCATAGAGTAGAAATTGATACCATTTACAAGTAGAAACCAGATGATATCAAACTTATTCTAAGGAGATGTAGAAAGCTTTACTGCATGAATGGCAGCATATGGAAAAGACGTAAATTTAATTCTATAAAGCGCAAAATCCCAAAGCTAAGGATTCCTTCATCCAAGTTAGACATAGAGTAAGACTACAATAAATGCCAAACATGAAATTCACAACTAATTGAAGGATTCAAATATTAAGAAACAGATCTGATTGCATCTAAAGCTCAAAGATAACGAATTTTCTAACAAATTCGCAGTTCAGGACTAATGGAAGCA